TTTACGATCTACGAATAATTCCAACACGTTTCGTCTAATCGATATCGAACCGTGTGTCAAAACTTTTGGACTGAGCTCATAGCATCGTGTGCAGCAACACTTTAAAAATTAATTAAACATAAATTACTGGCTTTCGACAATTTCTGGCAACATTTCAATCAGTTTCAGACATTTATCTCCGATTGAGGGGGTGAGCACTTGAAACTTTGGTTGGGGGGGGGGGGGGGGGCTTAAATTACAGGGGGGGGGTACTTATCTTTCGTTTACATAGGGAATTTCCTCCGCCTCCGAAGATGTGCCTGAAAGAAACTGTTTTCGCTTGCATTTTTGTAGTATTATATTGACTGACAATTTCATGTCTGTTTACTTAATGTTAGTTCATGTGGTCATTTGAAAGCCTATTGTTATAAATACTTTTTAAAATTTTGTTTTATTTAATAAGCCTACTTTTTAATAATTCTGAATTTTGAAAATATTTCAGTTTTTAAAAACAGTAAGTGTAGAAATTCAGTTATAGCATTTTACCGAAACTCATTCTCAGACAGACAGCTCAAACAACGAACAGACAGACAGCTCAAACAACGGACAGACAGACAGCTAGAGCAAAACTTATAATAAATACTTGTCATTAATTAACAAAAAACCATTAATCCCAATTAAGGGGAAGTAAAAAGCCTGAGTTGTCTAAGGGAGATAAATCAAAGCCAGGTTGTGATGAATGGCACGTAACATGCATGATTTTCGCTTTCTCTGTTGTTGGTGATGTTGTATGATGTAAAGATTGGTATACATTGGCTTGCATTGGAACTTTAACCTGATTGTATACATCGGGGAGATGATTGTCTTTAAATGACATGTTCCACCCTTGTTTTACCTGTAGATATAGGCCTACCTTTGTCTCTTAATTCAGTTCAATAAAATTGTCCATCAAATCAGTTCGATAGAGTGGTGATAAGTACAATGCTAAAAGTGGGTGATGGAAAATTTTAAAAGAATGTTGAATAGAACGATTAAAAGATATATTCATGTAAGGTAAATCGTGATGTGCTCTTATACATAATTGATACATCATGATGTGCTTTTATACATAACTAGAATACCCGTCATCCGTTGGATAACTGTGGGTTTCGGGGGTCATCCATAAAAAAACATCACGTCTGTCACTCAGAGGCATAGCGACCCTTCCCGGCGCCCGGGGACAAAGTTTTCGATTTGAACCCCCCCCCCCCCTCAAACTTTTGATGTGCACCCCCCCCCCCCCCACTCAAACTTTCGATTTGAACCCCCCTCAACCTATCAATTTATTTTTCCAAACCATTTTGGCGCCCCAACATATGTCCCCCCCCCTTCCCCCCTCCACCTCCCCACCCCCCCTTCCCCCCCCGCCTCCCCTCCCCACCCCCCGCCTCCCCTCCCCACCCCCCGCCTCCCCTCCCCACCCCCCGCCTCCCCTCCCCTACCGTCCCCCCCCCTCCTCGGTACGCTACTGCAGTGTCACTTATCGTCACAAAAAACAGACCCCACATTCAAATATATGTTTTTTATCTTTTAAAAACACCGAAAACACCGATTTCGGACTATCCCTTCATAAACTGACGTCACAGGTGACCTACTCAACTCTACTTCACCTGCCCAGTGTCCTGCCAAGTCTCAGACAACATGTTTTTATCGTTTAAAAAACAATTCCAGCCGAGCATGTATCTGACCACACTATCCTTTCATATGCTTAGGACAAAGAAACAGATGAACTCTACTTCACCTGCCCTGTATCTTGCCAAGTTCAGATAGGCAACGTTATCATTCACATCTAAAAAAAAAATTGAAAAAAAAATTTCATTGACATATTGGTCTAGAACCCGTGCCTCCTGCATGAGAGCTGACTACGCTACCATTTTAGCTATTTACTCGTGACGTCACAAGTGAATTTTTATACTATACTATGCAACTTGATTTACGCGTATAGATTCTAGATCTAGATCTAAAAATAAGTCTAGTAGTACTAACTTTCAAATTAAATTTTATCTTAAATAAGCCAAACAAAGATTTATATAAAATAATTAAGGCCTGAAATAGATTCTAGATGTAGAATTTACATTGAATCTAGTGACCTACATCTAGGCTAGATCTAGATCTAGGCTAGATTCATAAATTTCCTTCGATAGCTGATCTTTAGATCTAGAGAAATTTATCGTAAAACTAAATGAAAAAGACAGTTGAAAATTGATATAAGTGTTGGAACGTAATAAATACAGCAAACGGACGTATTGTTAAAGTTATGACCGACAGAAAATTAGATTTAGAACGCGTTAAACTTTTGAATGGGAACACAATTTTCTTCAATAGACGCTGCCATTTTATTGTACTAAAGAGTAAACAAAAACCTGTGACGTCACGGTCCCGCCGAGTCTAGTGGCTTTTCAAATATTTTTTTAAAAAATGGGTTATTCTGCATAGGAATAAATCAATAAATTAATTAACGTCTTTAAATAAATTTGTGATCAACAGTCTGTCTGCATTAAAAAATTATTCTCTACCTGCATACCATTTTACAGCTTTCCAGATAGAGTCGAACATATCACAATTTTCGATCAGGCAAACAAATAAATATTCAAACATGTAAACAAAGTTGAGTTTTAGTAGTATACTAGAATACCCGTCATCCGTTGGATAACTGTGGGTTTCGGGGGTCATCCATAAAAAAACATCACGTCTGTCACTCAGAGGCATAGCGACCCTTCCCGGCGCCCGGGGACAAACTTTTCGATTTGAACCCCCCCCCCCCCGCAAGATTTCGATTTGCAACCCCCACCCCCCCCCCCCCACTCAAACTTTCGATTTGCACCCCCCTCAACCTTTCAATTTATTTTTCCAAACCATTTTGGCGCCCCAACATATGTCCCCCCCTTCCCCCCTCCTCCTCCCCCCGCCTCCACTTCCCCCCCCCCCCGCCTCCCCTCCCCCTCCCGTCCCCCCCTCCTCGCTACGCTACTGCAGTGTCACTTATCGTCACAAAAAACAGACCCCACATTCAAAAATATGTTTTTTATCTTTTAAAAACACCGAAAACACCGATTTCGGACTATCCCTTCATATACTGACGTCACATGTGACCTACTCAACTCTACTTCACCTGCCCAGTGTCCCGCCAAGTCTCAGACAACATGTATTTATCGTTTAAAAAACGATTCCAGCCGAGCATGTCTCTGACCACACTATCCTTTCATATGCTTAGGACAAAGAAACAGATGAACTCTACTTCACCTGCCCTGTATCTTGCCAAGTTCAGATAGGCAACTTTATCATTCACATCTAAAAAAAAAAATTGAAAAAAAAAATTTCATTGACATATTGGTCTAGAACCCGTGCCACCTGCATGAGAGCCGACTACGCTACCATTTTAGCTATTTACTCGTGACGTCACAAGTGAATTTTTATACTATACTATGTGTCTCCTTATGCAACTTGATTTACGCGTATAGATTCTAGATCTAGATCTAAGTCTAGTAGTACTAACTTTCAAATTAAATTTTATCTTAAATTAGCCAAACAAAGATTTATATAAAATAATTAAGGCCTGAAATAGATTCTAGATGTAGAATTTACATTAAGTCTAGATCTAGAATTTACATTGAGTCTAGTGACCTACATCTAGGCTAGATCTAGATCTTGGCTAGATTCATAACTTTCCTTCGATAGCTGATCTTTAGATCTAGAGAAATTTATCGTAAAACTAAATGAAAAAGACAGTTGAAAATTGATATAAGTGTTGGAACGTAATAAATACAGCAAACGGACGTATTGTTTAAGTTATAGCCGGCAGAAAATTAGCTTTGTAACGCGTTAAACTTTTGAATGGGCCACAAAGTCTATGATGGAGTCCGATATTTTTATTGTACCAAAAAGTTAACACATCAAGGGACGTCACTATCCCCACAAAGTTTATTCAAAGTATTAACATTTTTAAAAAAATACGGTTAATTTAACTATGAATAAATCAATAAATTAATTAACGTCTTTATAAAAATTTGTGATTAACAGTCTGTCTGCATTAAAAAATTATTCTCTACCTACATACTATTTTACAGCTCTCCAGATAGAGTCGAACATATCACAATAGTCGATCAGGCAAACAAACAAAAAAACAAAAAAATAAATATTCAAACATGTAAACAAACTTGACTTTTAGTAGTATATAGATAGATTGATACATCATGATGTGCTTTTATACATAATTTATACATCCTGATGTGCTTTTATACATAATTTATACATCAGGATGTGCTCTTATACATAATTTATACATCATATTGTGCTCCTATACATATAACGTAAATCAAAATACATGTCTGTAATTACGGTCAATGACCGACGGTCCATTAAACCTCCTGTCGATTACTCACTACCCAGTGTGTGCATGCTGCGTGGTAAATCTCTTGAAATACAATCAATACCCCACCCCCACCCCCCCCCCCACCCCCCAGCCTGCACTTAAGCCTGGTCTCCCTTGGTCATAATTGACCTCTTGAACCTATTAAAAGGTCAGGTCAATGATCTTTAATGGCGTCACCATATATATGAGTTGATTCTATTAGAAATATTTGTATGAATGCAGTGTAAACAAATTATTGGACATAGAAGAATATCTTTTTTAGATAAATTAAAACCTTTAAAGAAAATTACAAAATTGAATCATTTCTTTAACATTTTTTTTCTCAAAAGCGAACATATGTTGGACATTACTATTTTGATTCACTTTTTTTTTTTAATTCTTTTTTCTGACTTTACTTAAAAGTTGAATAACCTGTACTCCTTTCCTTTGTGTGTGCAGATTTCTGTATAATTGTTGAATAATTTATAAAACCTTTAGGAAAAGTTCAATTTTTTTTAAATGTATCCTCCCCCACGTCCCCTTAACAAGAGTAAACAAATTAATTAGACAGTATTAATTACTAACGTTTTAAATTAATAGTTGAACTCTTTGAATGAATCGATTTCTACAGATCAACAGCAAACCGAAGGAGCCGCCTCACCCCGACCCCAGGAGGGAGCCTCGCAGGGAGGCTCACGTCATGAAAGACAAGCGCACCGACAGCGGCAGTAGCACCAGCAGCAGCGGCAGTAGCGCCAAGACCTCCACCAGCAAGTCGTCAGGTGACGTCACGAAAACCCAGGAGAAGGACGGCTCCAAGGACGGGAAGAAAATCCGCAGGAAACTTCCGCCCATCCCGGTGGGGGAAGACCCGGTGCTGGCGCCGAAATCAAAGAACAGGAGGCCGAAGGCGCCGGTGAAACGCAGCGAGGGCGTGGACCAAGAAGACGAGGGGTCCGTGGTTATGACGACCCCCGCGAGGGTCGTGCTGTACCCGGGGGCGACAGCCGTGGACAGTGGGTACATCGTCGGGCCGAGTAACCGGGTTCAAAGGTCAGCAGCGCGAGACAGCGACGACTCCATGAACGAGGATGACATGGAGGTCGCCAGACTGACGACTGTAAGAAACGCGCTGCTCTCCCCTAAGAAGAAAACTATTTTAGCTGACACGGGAAAGTCGAAGAGCCTCGATTCCGCTGAGTCTTCGAGAGCGAGGCTGGAAAAGGCGGAGAGCGAGTCTAGAAGCAAACCCCCCATGCAGAGAACGGCCTCGCTAGGCTACGGGCCTAAAGACGAAACGGACGAGATTATCGACTCGTTGATCGACATCTACGGCATACCGTGCACGGAGGCGATGAAGTGTCTGAAGAAAAGGCTACAGGAGGAGCTAAGACGGGTCACCAAGGACCGGAAGCGGAAACTGGAGGAGCTGGAGGAAATCCGCGCCCTGCAGATGCAGATCGGGGCGCTGAAGATGGAGTCGGACGCCTACGCCCGGGGTCGGGCTTACGCCGGCAAGCGTTCCCCGGCTCAGCTGTATCAGGATACCCAGCAGGACAACCGGAAGCGGAGTGCGCCGTCCCAGTCTGCGGCGTCATCGCTGACGCCGAGATCCTCACCGCAGGTCACGCCCAGGCGTCAGCGTCACAAGCGTCAGTCGTCGGATCCGATGATCTCAAAGTTCTCGCCCATCAAAGAGGATAAAGACATCGAGGCCGACTTCCAGACTCGGCTCCACGAGCCGGCAGACAGCCGGTCGCTGAAATACCACACGGACGACAGCTCACAATCCGGGATTAGCGACACGGAGAGCACGCGCTCCGAACCGGTGCGTGACGCGCGCTACAGCAAGATTAAACCCTCGGACTACGCTCGGATTTTCTACCAGCAAAAAAGTGGAAGCGCCGGCTCGGCGGAGCGGCTCCAGTACTCGGATTACGACCAGAGCATGTACGACCGTGTCGTCCAGCCGCTGTCCGGCAGCCGGTCGGAGCAGCAGCTGTCCTCCAACAACAGGGTGCCGGTCTACTACTCGGACGACGAGGAGTCAAAGGTCAGGGAGGAGAAGAAGGCCCTGCTGCAGTACGAGATCATGAAGCGCAAACAACAGCTGGAGGAGACGGCCAGGCTCAAGAACGAGCTGCTGAAACTGGCCAGGGCGAGACAGAGCATGGCTCACAGCTACGACGACATCCCGCGCCAATATGGCAGCCCTGTCGCCCCGCACAGGCCCGTGCCCCGGGGCATCATTAAACCCATCGATGACGAGTCCCATCTGGTGTACGAGTCGGGTCAAAGGTCGAGAGACCATTCTAAACACAGGTCACGAGAACATTCCAGAGAGCGCTCGCGGGAGAGGTCGAGCGAGAGGAGGGATGAGAGAGACCTGGAGCTGGTGAGGGTCCGGGATGACCCTATCGATACCATAGTCATGGAACATCGGGGTCGCGACCCCCGCCGGCGTCAGCACAGCCACCACCAGCTACCCCCTCACCAGCTCCCCCCTCACCAGCTCCCCCCTCACCAACTGGCCCCTCAGGACCCCAAAGTTATCTCCAACTACAGCTCCACCGAGTACCTGGCCCACAAGCAGGAGTCGGCCACCCGGCGCTACATCGACGAGCCGGTCCAGTACGGGTCTCAGGGCTGGATCGCCGGGGACTACCCCAACGAGACGCTGGCCACCGCCCAGGCCTACTCCCAGCCCTCGCTCAGCAAGAGGGTGGACTCGGCCCAGTCGCTGGTCAGACGAGAGGCCGCCAAGAAAGACCCTGGGATCGTGTCCAGCGTCACACTGCCCAACATCTACGCCAACAGGATAGACAGGGACTTCCGGCCTGTTGGTCCTTACAGGTACAGCCCTCGTTATGTGTATGTGTTATGTCCGTTACAGGTACTGCCCTCGTTATGTGTATGTGTTATGTTCGTTACAGGTACTAGACTCGTTATGTGTATGTGTTATGATGGCCCTTATATGTGCAGCCCTCGTATGTGTATGTGTTATGATGGCCCTTATATGTGCACAGAGGCGTAGCGAGGGGGGGCGGGGGGGACATATGTCCCCGGGCGACGACCTTAGGGGGGGGGGGCGCCAAATTGAAAGTTTGAGGGGGGGGGGGGTGCAAATGAAAAGTTCGAGGGGGGTGCAAATCGAAAGTTTGAGGGGGGGGTGCAAATGAAAAGTTCGAGGGGGGGGTGCAAATCGAAACTTTGCTCCCGAGGGGGGCGCCAAATTGAAAGTATGTCCCCGGTCGCCGGGAAGGGTCGCTACGCCTCTGTATGTGCAGCCCTCGTATGTGTATGTGTTATGGTCTTTACGGGTGCATCGTTCGTTGTATGTATGTGTTCTGATGGCCCTTACAGTTACAGTCCTCGTTATGTGTATGTGTTCTGATGGCCCTTATATAGGCCGCCCAAGTTGTATGTATGTGTTATGGTCTTTACGGGTGCATCGTTCGTTGTATGTATGTGTTCTGATGGCCCTTACAGTTACAGTCCTCGTTATGTGTATGTGTTCTGATGGCCCTTATATAGGCCGCCCAAGTTGTATGTATGTATTATGGTCTTTACAGGTGCATCGTTCCTTGTATGTATGTGTTCTGATGACCCTTACAGTTACAGTCCTCGTTATGTGTATGTGTTCTGATGGCCCTTATATAGGCCGCCCAAGTTGTATGTATGTATTATGGTCTTTACAGGTGCATCGTTCCTTGTATGTATGTGTTCTGATGACCCTTACAGTTACAGTCCTCGTTATGTGTATGTGTTCTGATGGCCCTTATATAGGCCGCCCAAGTTGTATGTATGTATTATGGTCTTTACAGGTGCATCGTTCCTTGTATGTATGTGTTCTGATGACCCTTACAGTTACAGTCCTCGTTATGTGTATGTGTTCTGATGGCCCTTATATAGGCCGCCCAAGTTGTATGTATGTATTATGGTCTTTACAGGTGCATCGTTCCTTGTATGTATGTGTTCTGATGGCCCTTACAGTTACAGTCCTCGTTATGTGTATGTGTTCTGATGGCCCTTATATAGGCCGCCCAAGTTGTATGTATGTATTATGGTCTTTACAGGTGCATCGTTCCTTGTATGTATGTGTTCTGATGGCCCTTACAGTTACAGTCCTCGTTATGTGTATGTGTTCTGATGGCCCTTATATAGGCCGCCCAAGTTGTATGTATGTATTATGGTCTTTACAGGTGCATCGTTCCTTGTATGTATGTGTTCTGATGGCCCTTACAGTTACAGTCCTCGTTATGTGTATGTGTTCTGATGGCCCTTATATAGGCCGCCCAAGTTGTATGTATGTATTATGGTCTTTACAGGTGCATCGTTCCTTGTATGTATGTGTTCTGATGGCCCTTACAGTTACAGTCCTCGTTATGTGTATGTGTTCTGATGGCCCTTATATAGGCCGCCCAAGTTGTATGTATGTATTATGGTCTTTACAGGTGCATCGTTCCTTGTATGTATGTGTTCTGATGGCCCTTACAGTTACAGTCCTCGTTATGTGTATGTGTTCTGATGGCCCTTACAGTTACAGTCCTCGTTATGTGTATGTGTTCTGATGGCCCTTACAGTTACAGTCCTCGTTATGTGTATGTGTTCTGATGGCCCTTACAGTTACAGTCCTCGTTATGTGTATGTGTTCTGGTGATCCTTACTTGTAGCACACTCGCTGTATGTCTTTACTGATGGTCCTTACATGTACAGCAGTTGTCCTGTGTTGCGTGTAGTGTTCTGATGGTCCTTACATGTGCACCCCACGTTATGTGTATGTGTTCTGATGGCCCTTACAGTTACAGTCCTCGTTATGTGTATGTGTTCTGGTGATCCTTACTTGTAGCACACTCGCTGTATGTCTTTACTGATGGTCCTTACATGTACAGCAGTTGTCCTGTGTTGCGTGTAGTGTTCTGATGGTCCTTACATGTGCACCCCACGTTATGTGTATGTGTTCTGATGGTCCTTACATCTAAAGACGCTCGTCCTTCGTTATGTATGTTTTCTGTTTGGCCTTACACGTACACCAGTTGCCTTACATATAATTAGGTATATATCTTATCACATGCTTTCCTATTTATGTATTTGAGTTTAATATTTATTAGTTTAAATCACTTGGTTTTGTTTACTTTTGTTTCATTTGTCGTGACAATGATGTTGAATCCAAAACTCTTCCTCGAAATCAAAAAATGAAAGTTAAAAAAAAAATAAGACCAAGTTTCCTTTTTCCCATCATGGTGTTGGTGTAGTGTAAATGTTATACTGGAAAACATGGCGGTTTTGTTACGACCCTCCATCAGACGACAACAATGGCGTCCGTTATTCACCACAACCACGGAGGATTAGCGGGACCATACGACAAAATGCCAGCTGTCTAGCGGAGAAAATCCCGCCAAACCCGGTACAAGAATGATAATTAGGTCGGCCCCAGGCGTACCCAGTGTTATTTTCGGCTTCAAAGTTTCCGTCTAAATTACAAAAAGAACCAAAACGGATCAGCGCTGACATTTAGAAAGTCGAGTACCTATGAAGCTCTTTTAATACGGTCAGACTACGTGAATAAAATACTAAGAAAGTTGAGTTTTAAGTGGGGAAAAATTACGTTCAAGATGAGACTAGTAATATTATAATAAAGTGTTTCTGACAGAACAACAGAAGATATTGTTATGACTAGTATAAAAAATTAACTAAGTAGATCTTGCTAAATTGTAAAGTAGTTTAGACAACAATTTTTTAATGAAAGACACTGTAACATTCTCACAGTATATATTGCATAACAAATTGAAACATGTCGGACATGGTGAGGGCGGTCAGCGAGGGGTGGGAGTTTTTTCTTCACTGAATTGAGAGGTGGATTTGATAGATTTTTTTTTTTTTTTTTTTTTTTTTTTTTTGCGGAATGCGGATGTTTTTGTGTATGTAATTATAGGGTCATAAATGTGTATGGGTGTATTTAATTTTAGGTGTTTTATATGTGTTTGTGTGTATTTAATGTGTTATCAAATATATGTGTATATTTGATTCTAGGGGTCAGCTATGTATTTTATAATATATAGGATCACCTGTGTATTTTTGTTTGACTCCGCCCTATCTCCCCTCTACAGAGACCCCAACTACATCAGCACAAGTATCTCCGACACTGACGGTAGCCCGGCTAGTGACATCACGCCGGCGATGCCCCTGTTGGATGACGTCAAAACCAAGTCCCGGACGATCATCCGCAATATCGGCAGCGGCAGTCGGCCGGTGTCTGCTGAGTTCAGTGCCGGTGAAGTAGAAGGTAGGTTTAGATCGGGGGGGGGGGGGCAATCTTTTACGATGCGGGGAAAAATCAGAAGTCCACATGGGAAGCTATTTGGAGGGGGGGGGGGAGTACATGGCACATTTTGTTTTATAATGCTTTAAATTTAGAAATTATCAACATAGAAATTTGTTTTAACTTTTTTCATTTCAACTATCATTGAAAATATTGATGCTAAATTTGCTGATAGACCACTAGAGAAAGTTTATCAATATATTTTCTAAATCTAAAAACACACTTTTTAAGAGGTTTCTTGACTTAGTTACACTATAAGCGTCAAATTTGAAATTTTTTTCTCATATTTCAATAACTTATTAATCCAAAAATAAAATGCTACAATTAATGTAATCTACACACACACACACACACACACACACACACACACACACACACACACACAAATAATAAACATAAAAATAAACATTTTAAAATGTGCACTTTATCATTATTTTTTAAACGTAACATTCTACTACTGATATTAATTTGATTTGTACGTAGAATCCCACTTGGGAAAAAAAAATAGTAAAATATGAGAAGAATTGTGTGAACTCCTGAGGGAATCAATAGAGTGTACTTTAATGATGATTCACGCGATCAGATTAGTCTTGAATATTTAAAACATATTCCAGATAAATAAATTTTAGAACCCGGAAAAGTGTAGGCCTACATTTCATTTGGTAGGAAACAAAAATTAGGCCTAGTATATTACAAAAGATTCTGTGTGAAAATAGCCGTAGTTAATATAGACATCGAAAGTGCTGCGAATAGTCGATTACCGACCGTTGTCATTGCACCAAAAAAAGATTTTTTTTCTTTACATCAAATTAATTTAAGATTTTTTTCTTTACACCAAATTACACTAAGACTTTTTTTTCTTTACACCAAATTACACTAAAACTTTTTTTCTTTACACCAAATTACACTAAGACTTTTTTTCTTTACACCAAATTACACTTTTTTCTTCACAACAAATTAAACAAAAAACGACTTTTTACACCAAATTACACTAAAGAGATCTCTGGTAAAGTGCGCTTAGTAGCCTACATACTATTCCTGTTTGCGTTGGATTACGAAGCCAGTTAGGCTTTGTTACACATACGACCTCTTTGTCCTATTTGCGCGTTGTATTGATCCAGACAGGATAACCGAGTCTCCCGCGTCGCCTACTCATAATATCAAGACAGGCCTACCTGGCCACACTGTATTAGTTTTTATTCAAATTGCTTTACTAACGGTGGGAATTAGCAGGCCAGATTTTAGCAACAATGAAGATAGACACAAAATTAGTTTATTTAATGCAACTTAATTTTACAAAGCGATTTCAGAAAAAGTTACTTATACTATAGATTTTCTATGGGCCTAATTACATTTATAAAAAGCTAAACTACGGTAAAAGCTCGTGTGGGAGGCGGTGAAAGCAGGCTATTAATTAAGCTATTTTTTTTAATAAATAGCCTTCTCCCTCCATTATTTATTTAAATCCAACATTTCTCAGCTGCAATTTTATTAACTATTTGATTTTGCGATTGTTTCCCTTGCTTAACGTGAAAATATCGTACAAAGACAAATTAATGATGTTACAAGCCATTGTACAATGTGTTTATTTTGTTGTTGTTTTTATTTAGAGAATAAAAAGTTTAATAGGCTTATTATATTTATTAAGAAGATTTTTTTAACGTAGATTCTATGTGATTAACCAAATTTCTAACTAATTAACGTTGGCATCTGTGCTTGTACAAGAAACAAAGTTGGCCTGGTTATAAAAATATATATAAATAAACAATGTAATGTACGGGGGGGGGGGGGGGGGGTGATGAGAAAGACTACTTTACAAATGTATTACATTTCATTAATCTCTATAAAGTAGGTCTATACTTTGTGCATTTTCAATAATTCCTTTGCAAATATTAATATATTCTTATTTTTTTAAAAAAAGGCCTTTAAGTTAAAGATAATATATACTAACACTTAACTAACACAATGGCCTATCTATACATATAAAATAGTTTTAAAAAATTATTTAGGCTACATACAGATATTCATGTTGGTTTATTTTCTCCAGATCTGCTCAATGCTATGTATAGAGTGGAGAGTGACAACAGTGTCGATGCTGATGAACCAATCATGAAACATATGACTGAAGGAGGAGTGACTATTCTCAAACAAATTGACAGAAAAAGACGAGTAAATTATTTATAATTGTATAATGATCATGAATAGTAAATTTATAACAAAATCAAAAAGTTATAGGGGGGAGAGCAACCCAAATCAGAGTAATAAAAATAAATGAATAAACAACAAAGTATTTTTTTTAAATTATTTATAAATTTCATATTAAACAGAAAATAATGAATCCCATGCCTGCTAATGACCTTTTGAATTCTTCAGTTTTTAAAGAATAATTATACTTTCAATGTTGTAAAGACTGACTCTTAATGTATCATATTTTTTAAAATAATTTTTGCCTCTTTAAATTATTAAACTAATTTTTCATTTTGTCACTTTGTTTCAATTATTCTATAGCCAGCACCAGTCGAGCCACATAAATATGACTTTCCAGTTAAAAGAATATTGGTCACAAGGGATGCTAAAGATAAATCTATAACAGGTAATTTTTTTTTTAAATATGTACTGTTTTGTTTCGTTGTTTAGATAAACTCCTATAAATATATTCCTAGGTATTCATTACTTGTAACCCAATGAAAACAAGATATTTGTTATCTGATAGGCAATGGTTTAGGTATGAAGATTGTTGGAGGTAAAGAAATTCCAGGTACTCATGAACTTGGTGCCTATGTTACTGCTATATATCCCATAATTGCTGATCAACTTCATGGGGAACTAGATGTGGGTAAGTATCAATTAATATATATATATATATATATATATATATATATATATATATATATATATATATATATATATATATATATATATATATATATATATATATATATATATATATATATATATTTTTTATACATTAGCAATTGATTTATTCATTTAATTTACACTCCACATTATTGTCATACAAATTCAGACGGGTCAAGCAGTTTTGTTTGACTAACTTCAACGTGCATCAAGAAATTGTTCCACTTTGAGTTTTTCAAATACTCCTGTTAAAATAGGTTTTCCAACAGTTCAAAAAAATGTTTAAATTGCAACATTACCCTGCACTTAAAGTGGGATTAAATATTGCAATAAATACCTCTGAGATTCTTTAAAGCAGTTAAAAACTTTACTATCTTACCTCAAAAGTATAGCACAGTTCTTTCTGCCACTCTTAAGGAGTAATTTTTATGGCGATTCATAAAAAATTGTGTAGATCTACTTTCTGTCAAAGATCTGTGTCAAGTTAGATAACTCTGTGTTAACCTCAGCCTCTTTATTTATTTCCACTTTTTCTTTTACTTATACAATGTATCTTATTTTTATTACTTCTTTTTTTCACGACCTAAGTTTTCTGATTGTCTTTATCTTCCAAAATGGCTTAATAAATGTGTGTAAATAATCTGCTGTACTTAAATTGTTCCAAAAATAGTTTACAATTTGGTTTTACAGGTGATCAGGTTCTAGAGTGGAATGGAATCCATTTGACGGGTTTGTCTGCTGATGAAGTCCAGGACATCATATCTCAAACTAATGGAGAAATAGAAATGGTAGTCAGAGCGTAAGTGATGTTACAATACTACAGTGTGTTCAATAAAATAGTTTTTGTTTCTTTCCATAATCTTAAGTGAAATGCAAATAGATAAATGTGTCAAGTAAAATCAGATGTAAACAAATATGTATAAGAAAAACAAAACCTCCATTTAAGGAATTTTTTTTTAGAATTAAGTAAAACACTTAAAATTAACTTTAATATTATTGTTTACCAATACTGCCTTTTATTACCAAGATATGAACAATAATTTAAGTTATAAATAATGTTTTATAGTTATGGGTGGGTTTTCCGACTATTCAAACACTAATTTGTGCAGTGTTGCGCAACAATGTTTCAACATGTCAAATCAGTGTTGTGCAATGTTCAAACTATATTTGAACAATGTGAAATAATTTATTTTTTTAAGTCATGAATGCATAATAAACATTTAATTAAATCAACTTTATAATGTCTTCCTTTTCAAGAGGGTGCAATCTATTGTTCTAGAAAATATTTTATTTTTCCATCACTTATCTTATGTTTTATGTAATTCCTTTATATCCTGCTAGCTAAATTCCATTACAACGTAATTTTGTGTTATGTACATTATGCCCTGACCAATTATTACCTGTATCTGATATCCTTCCTTCCCCAATGTCTTCCCCCTTTGGATAGTCAAACCATTCCAATTTTGTTGACGGACTTGGTGGCACAGCCTGAGAGTTGCAGATCATCATATGATAATTTGGCACTGCCAACATATGAGGAATCAGGTGAGGTACATGCTTGGGATTCCAAATTTAGAAATTTCTATATGAGCAGTAAATCATTGGCATGAGTATCTCTAAAAGTGTAACTGCTTTAATTTTGTAAGTGGAACAGTTGAAGCGGTATTTTTTTTACAGTTTTAGGCAACTACAGGATAAGTAGTTTTAAGATACATAAGTATATTTCTAAAGCTGGTTTGTATAAGTCCGTTACACAATACAAAGAAATGTTTGGTAATTTTTAAAATTAAAATCATAGCTAAATACTATTGCTATCTCTTTAACGAGAAGTAATTTTTGTTTACAATTGGACTAATCTTGCATCGGTTGCTCCAGTGAAGGAGCCATCACTACAGAGGCAGAGGACCGGGCCAGCTGCAAGCAGGCAGGGTGTGGACCCTCGTCAACTTGCTGCTCAGCTGGAGGGGATACGCGAGGCTGCCTCGCCTGCTGAGAATTCCCCGAGCTCCTCCCACCAGGAAGTAGCGACACCGTCCGTGTCATCCCCATGTAGTACACCTAGATCAGATCCCACTAGTACCTCATCCGACAGACAGCAACGCCCGCCCTCAGGAAGTGCCGATAAATCTGAAAAAGTATGTTGGCTTTGTATCCAATTTTTTGTTTCCTTAATTAATTTTGGTAGCATTTGTTTTAATTGTCCCTGTTAAGCATGTTAGGGTACCATGTTTGGCTTTTTTACATTAGGATGGTTTAGAAAAAAAAATTGTGGAATAAATTGTTTTGTTTTATACTGGAGTATTTAGCTATTTTTTCAAGTAAAATTTATTTTAGCTATTTTCCAAAATTGTTTTGAATTAAATTGTCTTAGCTCTACTAGTTGACTTTCCTTATTTAGCTTACAAAAAATTTCACAATTTTTTCCTCAATCACATATTATTAGCCTTTATTAAGTATTTTTTTAAAACTTTTTTATGAACCAGCATGTTAAAGGATCTATTAGATGTAGCCTTCTAATAAATGTTTTATCACAATTTACAAAAACGTATTTTAAAAATGGGAACATAATTGCTAAAATTCAGTTTCAACTGTTATGTTTTCAAATACAAAAGTGTGTTGTCACGCTTTTTGAGTCCGTCCGTCTCCCCCCTCCCCCCTTTCCCATACTCCCTAGTTGAATCCGAACCCTCTCCTATGTGTGTGACATCATTTATGGACGACCCTTTATTGAACTTGAAAGAAGTTAGATCAATAGTAGAGTTATTTTTCTATTAATGTAGTCTTAATGTTGTTTGAAGAAAGCTCAAATGGAATCTTTTAACAGTAAATTCTATACAACCATGTTGTGTATCATATTGAATGTTCTTCTGAAAAAGGTTATTTACACAGCATGTATAAGGCCAACTTAAAAAGGAGGTTAATACTTATTTAAGTAGAATTTTACTTATTCTTCTTTTTTAAAGTAAGTATCCTTCTAAAAGGAAAAGTAAGGATATTTTTTAGGATTGTATTGAGTGTTATTTTATTACTGCCTTATAAAATAGTTAATAATATGTTTGTTTTTTTTATCTCTGGAAGAATGTAGATAGTAGACAGTCAACAGATCCCCACTCCAGTAGAAGAAGACGTAGAAACTCCCCCAACCCAGAGAAAAACTTACAGCAGCAGCAGCAACCATCTCCGAAGAGGCCTCAGCGCCATCAGCCTCAGCCATCTTTGTATAATCAACCGCAACAACAGCTTCCATCATCATCACCCCCGCCACCATACACCGCCACCCAAACCTCAGCTCCGCTTCAAAACAGTTCAGCCAACATGGATGTCTTGCCAGCAGAGAGAGCTCCCTCAAGAAGAAGAACAGAAAGAAGAAAACAACAAGATCCTTCTCCTCCGCCATTACCTACCGCCACCCAAGAAAAGCCCCGCCCTTCTATCACATTTGATGAACCAAACAATGGTACTTGCTCAAGCCCCGCCCTCAATGACCGTCTCAGGGCATCCCCACCCCTTGACATGAGACGATCAATCAAGACTCGGCCTTCAAAAAAAGGAAAAGATAATTTTGTTTTTCCTGCCAAGGCACCCCAGGAGGTATATTTTTAATTAAGAAACAAAATATTAACTTAAAGCATTTTTATTTCTTTGATATTTGGTTTTTCTTTTTCCAATACCTGTAGGTTTTTTTTTTAATTTATAACAAAAGATATTTTATTTTATATATAATGAAATTATATTAAAAACCACTTGAATTTATGCAAAGAAACTTGTCAGGTTATAATGTATAAATCTTAAGTTTTTATTTTAAATAAAATACAAGGAATTAAAATTATTTAGAATTCTATGTTTTTCAATGCTCACATTCTCTTCAACAAGATTTACAGAATTGTTAAACAAATTACATCTGTTTCAGCCTGAACGTGGGGAAGACTTTGGTTTAGGGGAGATCCAGGTATGAAACCTAGAAAAAACTAGACTTTGATAGGCAAAAACTTATACACAAAATTATACATTATTATTATTAGACATTTTTTAGCATTTCCTGAAATGAAAATAAAAAATTGCGCTTTCATTGATTTTCTCAGTTACAAATCAGCCATGATGATTTTGACAACACGCTCAATGTACATGTGATCCAAGCAAGAAATTTACGTCCCCGAGATCTCAATGGGCTCTCTGATCCTTTTGTAAAACTATACCTCTTACCTGGCAGGGGGTAAGTTATCTCTGTTCTAGAAGTTTATTGTTGTATTTCAATATAAACATGACAATAGATAAAAAATTAATTCTTATTAACAATTTTTTTGGTATGGTTAGGTTGGTTTATTTTTACTACCAAAACTATTTTTTCAGACCGGAGAATAAACGCCGCACAAAACATATTGCACGAACTTTAAATCCAGAATGGCACCAAACTGTCATGTTTCAAGATGTGGCTCGGCTGGAACTTCAAAACAAAGTACTGGAAATCACAGTGTGGGACTACGACAGGTTTAAAGCCAATGATTTCTTAGGTGAACTCATCATAGAGCTCAGAGGTGTGCATTGGTTTAAAATGAAATAGTTTTTTTACTTTGCTTTATCTTTTATAAAAATAAAATCTAACTGTTGTTGCTCATTAGTTCAAGGTTAGGTTTTTAAATATATAATCAGGCTGGGGTCATCCATAAACAAATATGCCTCCTTATCACACATCACTAAAAGAAAAACTCCTACCACTCCACACTAAACTGCAATATTTGTTTTTTTTAAACAGCAATTTCTTTATCAAATATTTACTGAACTCTTTTAACATTGGGTATATGTTTTTTTGCAATTTACAAAAAAACGTCAGAAATACTAAACGTCAGTTTAAAATATTTGTTTTTAATGCAAAAGTGTGTTGTCACTCTCTAAACTTTTCTCCCTTTCACCCTAGTCATGTTGCCATGATAGTCCAACCCTCCCTCCCCCCCCCCCCTCCCCTCATCCCCCCCCCCCCCCCCCCCCCATCCCTTGCACTACAGAAATGTGAAGTAGTTTATGAATAACCTCAAGTAGTTAAAGCAAGGCACATTTGGGGTAGTGTGACCTCATGTTTCAAAATCAGATTAAAGCTCTTATTATTATTGTTAATGATAAGAGTTCAATTTGTTATCTCTACACCCTAGTTGAGAACAAAATTGTGTTGATAGATGGGGGACTGATAAGTTGTAACTTCTGCAAACCAATGACACTAATTTAAACAGATAAGTCCCACACTGGAACCTCCTAAAGAAAAAATTAAGGCAAAGTAAAAGCTACAGAAATGCTCTCTACTTGGTCGGCACTGAACTGAAAGTCAACCAAATCTATTGGAGACTTGTTTTAGCAGAAAACTTCACATTGGGTCTAAAGGAAAAATGATATTGACCTGTGTGAAAATTATTTCTAAAGACACACAAAAAACAAGTCAAATTTTTTTGCATTTCTGAGTTCAGTTACTTTAAAACTTTTAAAAATGTGTTTTCTTCTTGAAACAGAATTTGCCTTTCTTGACAACAAGCCCCACTGGTACCCTTTAAAAGAACATGTAACAATGCAAAGCTTTGAACTTCCCAAGTCCACTGTGGCACCACCAAAGCCTTCAGATAATGGCAAGCCCAAGACAAAATCTCCAAGACAAGGAAAAAAACATGGGGTATCATCTTTGGTGAGAACTTATTTAAAATATTTATGGCAATTCATCTATTGTAAGGATGTCAAATGAAGGTACATGTGTGGCCAGTACTAATGTCATACAATAACAAGAATTTTGTAAATCAGATATTTTTATAAAAGATATATATATGTCCAGTGGGTAAATTGCAAAAATACAATGGACTAAAATATATGAGACACTTTAAATAGAAGGCTTCAGTGACAATAACTGATCAGCTACTATTTCAGGAATGTTGTTTATTCTACCACAAGAAACACATTTCTTCTACCATAAGTTTCTTCTTCCACAAGAAACACATCTCTTCTGCCACAAGAAACACATTTGTTCTGCCACAAGAAACAGATATCTTCTTCCACAAGAAACACATTTCATCTACCAAAAGAAACACATTTCTTCTTCCACAATAAACACATTTCTTCTTCCACAAGAAACACATTTCTTCTTCCACAAGAAACACATTACATTTCTTCTTCCACAAGAAACACATTTCTTCTTCCACAAGAAACACATTTCTTCTTCCACAAGAAACACATTTCTTCTGCCACAAGAAACACATTTCTTCTGCCACAAGAAACACATTTCTTCTTCCACAAGAAACACATTTCTTCTTCCACAAGAAACACATTTCTTCTTCCACAAGAAACACATTTCTTCTTCCACAAGAAACACATTTCTTCTTCCACAAGAAACACATTTCTTCTGCCACAAGAAACACATTTCTTTTTCCACAAGAAACACATTTCTTCTTCCACAAGAAACACATTTGTTCTGCCACAAGAAACAGATATCTTCTTCCACAAGAAACACATTTCATCTACCAAAAGAAACACATTTCTTCTTCCACAAGAAACACATTTCTTCTTCCACAAGAAACACATTTCTTCTTCCACAAGAAACACATTTCTTCTTCCACAAGAAACACATTTCTTCTTCCACAAGAAACACATTTCTTCTTCCCCAAAGAAACACATTTCTTCTACCACAAGAAACACATTTCTTCTTCCACAAGAAACACATTTCTTCTTCCACAAGAAACACATTTCTTCTTCCACAAGAAACACATTTCTTCTTCCCCAAAGAAACACATTTCTTCTTCCACAAGAAACACATTTCTTCTTCCACAAGAAACACATTTCTTCTTCCCCAAAGAAACACATTTCTGAGAAAACACAAAGTTGTAATTGTAGCTTTTAAAACACAGTATTTTTTTACTAGACATAGATAAGTTTATTCACCTTTCTTCTAATGCTAATGTTTTGATATTTTCTACAAATTAGCAGCGCCCTCAAGAAAGTCTAGAAAATGATACAGAATCTCAGAGAAGGCGTTCCTTGGGAAACCTGGCTGGAAATGGTAAGTGCTAGGACTGCAATGGAACACAATGTTATTGATGTAGATTTTCTTCATGTTATTGTCAGTTATTTGATTGAGACTGTGTTTATCTTTGAGAGATATTACAGTCCAGTCTAAATTTGACAAAATTATTGATGGTGGATTACGTAAGGTATTTGTATACTTGGAATGATCTGGGAATCAACTGGATTTTTTGTTAGTAAAGCAATATGTGAAACTTGATGATGATGAAGTCATGTGTTTGTGCACCTATAAAAACCTATAATTATAATTATCCTACTCTTGATGTTGTCTTGTAATAAACTGTTTTACTAAAGTAATACATTAAACCTAATGATTGATAAAGTAAAGTATTTCTATTCCTGCACTGTATTTGGTGTTGTTGTGTAAAATACTGTCTTAGCAAAGTAATACATTAAACCTAATAATAATGGATAAAGTGAAGTGTTTGTATACCTCTACTCAATGTTGTCTTTGCAATCGACCTTTCTTTTAGATGTGTGACTTCAAAAATCACATTTAAAAAAACTGGTTTTGTCTTCCGCTGTGATTTTTACCATAATGATTCTTAGCTCACAAAAGAAAGGAAATTTGTCTCCAGATGCTAATCTTTTAACCAAACAATTTTTATGCCACGTTGTATTTGCTGGTTTCAACGCCACAGTGTCTTCAACAGACACCCCTGATATGGTAGTTCGGCAAATCGTCACATCTTTCCTGTCTTGCTTTCGCTTCATACACCCAGAACAGGTAGTTGCACTTGTTTTTAAACTGTTTCTTTCGATTTACAGGCTTTCCTCATGATACGCTTTTTTTCTCACCATCAATGGATTGAAAAAAAATCTCCTTTTCCAATGATGTTAATTTACTATTTATTTCTCATTGCATGGATTAATTAATTATGCAGTTCAGTAATACTTTTTATTTCCACAGCCATAACTTGCTGCATGCTGAAGTTAAGCCACATTTCTTTATGTATTACACATCTTAAGCTTGTAGGTGTTTTGATACTACTTAACAAGAAACATGGATTTTATTTCAATTGTTGATTGCTCATTGATGTGCATGGGACAATTCTTTTACAATAAATAGAATTTTCATTTACAATATTTTGGGAGAAAATTTTTTAACTGTGCTTAGTTAAGTTTTTCATTAAAAAAATTTACAGAAAAACCTGCATGATTATGAAATCAGAGGAGTAAATTGGCTGAGAAATTGTATTGTTTATTTTTCTTTTGATTTAATTTCTTTTGCTCAGCATTTCAAATAGGATCTTTTTTCAAGAGTTTTGCCTTATTGAGATTGCATGGGTTGTGGATCATCAACTTCTTGCATTCATTTGATATAAAATGTGTTTTCATTACAAAGATGTGTGAAATTACAGGCCAAGTTAAAACAAGTTTAATGTTCTTTATTTGTTTCTCATGTTTATTTTCATTGGAAGGAAAAAATTAACTTTTTTTTTAGAGTAAATTTTACCACAATATTGTGTTGGTAAAGTTTTTGGTGCAACTAATTGATTATTAATTTTTAAATGTCTTTTAAACTTTCACTTTAATTTTTAAAAATGTCTTCTGCTGCTACTTTTTCTCACCAACAAACATACTAAATGTGGGAAATTTTTACTGAATGATTAAACAGTGTAAAATTTAATGTTTATTAATGTTTCTAGAGTGCTTACATGTCTTAATATACAGTTGTTGCTACTAGAGTTTTCGATCTTGTATTTTGGTGATTTGAACATTTTTTACAACAGTTATCCTACATCTGTATGTCTGTTTCAATGTATAAGTGTGATTGTTTGCTATATCTTAACAAAATATTTACAATTCCAAATAGTTTAGTGTCATTTTCCTAACGTCAACAATTGTTTGAATATATAATTATGAAATTATTAAATTAATTGCATTATCTTAAAATATCTTCAGATATCGGTGCAGATCAGATTCATGTTGATTAAACAGGTTCAGACAGTTCAACTAGATTTTTTATATTTCAGTATAAAATAGAATAGATATATCAAACTAACAGGTTAACAAAGAAATAGGTAGAAATTCACTTGTTTTGCCACAACATAATGTCATGAGAATCAACTAAAATTGGGATCACAGTGTATTTACTCATATTATTATTATTATTGTGAAGTGGGAGCTAGTTCTGATTATTTAATGAGTTATAGCTTTAACTCTGTAAACTTATTTTAATGTTTTTATGACATTAATAGAAATTTTCTTTTCATACTACCATCTTCAGGTACTAATGAAACGTCGACTCCGCGTGAAATATCCTCTGCCACAAATTCCCCAGTCCCACCCAGAAGGCCGAGAGGCACCAAGTCTCCAATTAAAACGAGATCTAATGGATTGTTATACAGATGATGAAGACGTGGATGATAATTATGATAAAGTTTATTTTTAGATTTCATTTGCAGCTACTTTTTTTAGTGATGCAACAGTAGGTTTTCACCCATGCTTACAAGTTGTTTGAATGTATTGATAGTGATCAGCTGTGATCAAACTGTTATGGCTGTGAAGATTTGCATTATGTTAAATTGGATATTTACATAAACTTTATTTACATAAAATTTTTATGTTTGTTAGTGATAAGTAAGTAGACAATTTATTTAAGGAGTTAAATTGTAACTGAGTACCCATAATTACAGCCTCTTGCTTCAAAGCTCCTTAATAAAGTCACTGCTAGCCTGAAAGTCTCTGGTTCAGAACCAAGGGGGTTGGCATGGTCGGACAGGTAAAGTTCATGGTTGCTAAGCCGAAAAGTCCAGAGTTTGAACGTCGGAGTAGATGAGGCTTGATAGCTGAGGGCGGCAACCAATCTAGGAGAGAAAACTCTAAAATAAAATAATTTCTGCCTTTTAGTTTGTTCTTGGATGGACGAAGGCTATGGAATCAAATCCAGTAAGAAAAGCAGGCTGAAATCTTGAGTCAAGAGGCTATATATGACACATAAAATGTTTGCTGATAATACCTAATTTTTTGGAGGAAATCCCAACATTACCATAAAATGAAGGTCCCAGCTATGTTAATGTCCATCCAGCTTTAAATTTGTACCAGACTGTTGGAGAAGGCTGAAGGTGGGAGGGTATTTTAATAGACCAACTATCCTTCATATGCCAAGTTTACAGAAACTCGTTACTGTTAGGTCCAAACGGGTATCTATTACTGTTAGTATTGAAGCATTTATTTATTTAATGTACTTCTAAATTATGTGAAAGATTAGATTAACATCACAGCACTTCATTAATTTTAATGAATAATCCCTCTATATAAAATAAAAGATTCTCTGTAGAGTCCCTTTAAACATTTGCTAGCAATTTCTGAACTATTTTTAACTATATAAAATGGTTTGCCATTTTTTTGTTGTGAATAACAATTTCCCGAAATATGAAATGTTAACTAAAACTTGTGGCATATTCTTCTGGTAACTCACCAAATGTAAAAGGATATTGGCTATGAAATGTCTTCCATTAAAGGTAATGGCCCACTCATCAGCAAACTTCCAGTCATATCAGTGGACAGTTGCAGAAATATCATTGGAGATTTTTCAAAAGCAAAACAAAAAGTTGCTTCTTTCACTACTACAAAAACTCACCAAGCGCCTGACATTTGTGATACACATAGCAAGAAAACTAACCTAGCCCATATGTTCACTATTCATGACTGTTTTAAAAGTTTGCAAAGGACATTTTCATAATCACATTTCAATTTACATTCATATCTTGACACACTGTAATCCTGTTATTTTGAACAGCATATAGCCATTCTGAAAGACTTGTAATTTATAACCAAGTACTAGGCAAATTGGTTGCTTAAAAACCAAACCTTAATGCTGACATTTTTCACACATGTTGAAGTCAGTGTTTTATGTCTTTTGAACTGTCACATTTTTCAACATGGCACAAGTGATATCAGGTGTGCATATACTTAAGTATCAATTTTTTGGGGTTGTGAAAATTGTGATATTTCACTGTAGTGCATTTCTGTACATTTGAGGATCTAGATTAGTAAAGCAGGACTGAATTGTTTCCAGCCCTGTTCTACTGAGCAATAGCTGTGTAACAATTTGGAGAAATTTACTTGAATACAACTTATGAAAACATCAATGATCCACTCATGACTGATATTTGTATACTAGTTAGTTAATTTGTATACATTTTTGCTATTTCACAATAGCCGTTCTTTGTCCCATGTATATATAAATCTTACATTTTATGTGATCTATAGAACTTAAAATTAAACAAAAAATACAGTTCATGTCTAGACTGAAAGTTTGTCAAGATGTTTACTAGTGGGATTATAGAAGTAAAACAAAATCATTCATCAAGTTTGTGTCTTTATTCAATAAAATAAGGTGATTAAAATGAACTGTGTCAATGATTAGGGGGAAATGACATGCCCTAAGACTCTTTGTATTAGGTACAGGAAAAGTGCATTATCCAACTACTAAAAACTAATGACAGAAAAAAATCTTTAGATAGGTAATTCCAGTTTCCCATAAATTGATTACATGATACAAATGCTAATATTTGGCTGGCAGTGATGAGCCTAAACAAACCTAAACACTTCAAAAAAAAAAATGAAAATGATGAAAACAATGAAAAATATACAATGAACCCCTGCAAGGGAGAGAAACATGATGTTAAAAAATACATTGAGATTACTATCTAAAAATGACATACAACAAATATCTTTGACTTGTGTAAACAATGCATAAAGAGCAGAAACAAAAAGGGACTTGATGTTACTGGAGAGGTATGCAGAAAATAAAATAATGTAATTAGTATATGAATGTCATGCACATCTGAACAGTCTAAAAATTTTATGTGCACATATAAAAATCTTACAGTACAATAAACAATGTAGACTGATAACATTAATCCAACCTATGAAATGATTTCATTAAAAATTATACTTCACTTAAAAACCAATAGCTATGCTTACATATTCCGTGCATACACAAAATATTTTCACACATTACCTTCCCCTTATGTATTGCAAAATCCAAGAATTAAGGAAATTTTAAATATGCAAAGGTTATCTTTAAGCAATATTAATTAATAGGCTGTCTTCACCACATGGCAAGCGTACCATCCAATTTCTTAGTTTAAAAAAATAAAATAAAAATGCATTTACATGTAAATTACAACAGGCCAGCACAATACTTAGCTACACAAACACAATTCCCTTAAGAAATATTATCTTGCTCTCACAACTGGATGTAACCATGGGTTCCTTCTTGAAGCTGCCAATATGAAGAGCTCAGGGGCTCACTTCTTCTTGGGGCTCTTCTTTTTCTATAATTAGAGAAAGGGATTAATGTAAAAATTTCCAATTTCTTTCAAAATAAATAGATGAAATACTCAAAACAAAAGCAAGGATGCAGAAATTGAAAAATCTTACCTTGCTACCAGTGGATCCCTTTGGTCTGCCACGTCCACGACCAGTTTTAGGCTTTTCAGCATCGCGCTTGGCTTTTTCCTACAATAAATTAAAAAGAAAATATGTTTACAAACTGTAAAAATGTGGACAGGTATTAAATACATCAAATGCCAAACAAAACCTGTCACACTGCCTGCTCATGCAAATGAAATGTTACTAAACTGTATAACATGGGTAAATTATATTTCTGGTTAGGGATGGGAAAAGAATGGCAGACTAGAACAGTATTTACTGGAGCTAAGTAAATGTAAACTATAGATTCAGGTCTAAAACAGCTAAATGAACTGTGAATCAATGACTGAGAACAGGCCATAATCAAGGCTTTGAAACACTGGATAGTACCTCATCAGAAAGGGGCGGTCTTCCTCTTCCACCACTTGCCTTCTGTAAAAATATTTAAAAATTGGAGGGATAAATTTAAATTCCTAGCACTGAATAGGTCAGTTTAAACCTATGAGGGCTGCAAGCTACCTAAAATCCCCCCCAATGGAAGCAACTAAAATACAAAAAAAAATAATATCTCAGTATATTACCTTTGCAGGTGATTCTTTAGCCTTCTTTGGGGATTCAGGGGTGGCAGCAGCAGCATCAGCAGTAGGCTAAATAAAAATAATAGACATAATTAAAATTATGTTAAAGACTACTAAAGGCAAGCTATACTTGGCTCCTGTGTATTAGGTAATTTGACATAAAAAAAAGTTCTTAAATACTTAGCCTTCTATACTTTTTAAAATAAATAGCAATAAGTATTCCTTTTCTTCTAAATATGTATAGTAGTCTGAATAATAATCAGTAATTAGAAGGGAGATTTTTTTACTGAATTGCTTAAAATAATGATAAACCTTTTAAAGAGAATGCTAACAGGTAATAAAAACACACTACTATAAAACTGTCTTTTAAAATGAAAGTGACCATAGCTAAATATATCTTTGGTATTTCTAATTGTATTTTTTTAAAATATCCAACATATAGCATGAGTTTTTCTCTCTTAAGTTGAAAACAAATTTGCTTAGCTTTTTCAAAATGAAAGAAAAACATGCTGGGATGAAAAAACAGCTTACAGTTGTTCAAGTTCCATATTAGCCCCTCTAAGCAATTTGCTATTGCAGATACAAAAACATGCACACACAAAATTAACATGTTAAATAACACACCTCTGAATCACTAGCAGCCTCTGGAGCAGGGGCAGCAGCTACGGCGGCTTTCCTTTTGGGCATTTTCTGTAGGTTTTTTTCAAGTTACAAACTGAAAGTGTTAAAGAATGCTAATTATATAACAAATAGAAACCACTCTAGCACTCATTAAGAAATGAAGAGTAAAACAGCATATTTTATGGGTTCAGCGTTAATAAAGTCAAAGTAATTTACTTTAATCAAGTTCTTCTTAGTGTTGGTATTTTTAATAAACAAAAACAGACATGGTAAAAACTCAGAAGAAGGTTCTTCCCCTAAGCGCTAGTCTAGCCGACAAGATGAAAAACTCAATGACCTTAATATATGTGCAATTGGCTAATATTAAATACTATCAACAGTGCAATGGGCACAAATTATCCTTTAATAGCTGTGCAATGGGACAAATATTTCTTTTTTAGCATTATTCTTCTGACAAATCTGTACTGTGTGTTCTGAGCAGTGGCGCTTTAGGTGGGCCGTCAGGAGTTGAGGGCTATTAGATCTTGTATTAAATTATACATCTAGTATAAATTGTTTATTTAAATATATTTAAAAAGTATTAATCGAGTTAATCCATGTACCATCAAGACACATACACCTATACTACGAACATTAAGATAACGAAAAACCACATTATAGGCATACTCAACCACAAAATCAGGCCCAGGAGAGAGAAAGGAAAGAGACTCATTCCCAAAGCGTACATAGTTAGGATAATCAAGCCTTTATCGGAACATTAAAATAATGTGTTAAAACAAGCAAGACCATTTGTGGCGCTTTGCACAACTTTTTCCCAGTTATTAGCCAATTTCACATATATTAAGGTCAGGGTGAGTTATTGAGTAGTAAATAGTGTGTCACAATTTTTTTATATACTCTGATATGTAAGCCCCAAACTGTGTATGTGTGTAATTTCAATAGAAAAAATAAAAACCTTTAAACACTACTTGTCTAGCACCAATAAATTAAGTTTCCATAATGAAAAATATGTGTGCTAGTAGTTCCACCTTGTAAATCTCCCCCTTAAGGATGTATCTTTAAAAAAATGATCCAAAAGAGTGCAGTGTAGACTACATCAGAAAACTAATTTTATATTGAGGTAATATTAAAAAATTATGACAGCACTAAGCCCAACTACTAGATCTAGTTCCAGATTTACTTATTGCAAAATGTTGGTTTGGCTTTTAAGGGATAATTTTCATTAGGATAATATTATCTTGACATTTGAGTAAGCTAAATTTAGATAATTAAAAGTGGTCTCTAATGGTCTATTTATGGGTATGGCTCATGGCTTAGGCATATGTGAAATATTTGATTTTAGTATTGCCTAGATAGATCTATGTGAAATAATATTTGACTTTAATATTTTATAATTCAAGCTGTTTGGTGAACTAGATCTAGAATCTAGAACACCTAATCCAGCTAGACTAGATACTCTTATATTATTTAGGTTGCCCCCCCCCCCCCCCCTGCTGTGAAATTTCATATTTTCAATTAAAAGTCACAAAATCTGCATTAGTATTGAGAAAGTCTAGGTCATGTAACTGATATTTTTCTTAATATGCCGCATGGCGGCAAAATAAACTCCTAAGATTTTATTATTTCTAGATTCTGGATCTAGACTAGACTCAACTGAATAAACAAAATAAAATGGCTGAAATTGAGATGAAGTCTTTTTTCTTTAATTTTAACTCAATCTGCATGCATACCTATGGAAAAAATTCGCAATACAATAAATAACATTTTTGCAAAACAATTATGAACTTAATGTCAACGTGTGCACAATTCTAGCCTAGTGAAAAATTTCAATGCCCTCGTTTCATTTTTTGTCATAAATTATTTCCCGCTCCACGCCATCTTTGAATCTTACCTCGCCGGTTCAGAAACTAAATTTTAGCTTTAATATTGTAAGTTACTTAAAAATCTAAATTTTAAATGCATGTTATGGCATAAATAAGCTAAACAAAAAAATTGTTCTAGATTCTAGATCTAATAATTGCAAATTAAATGAGACTGAAGCGCCGGTTGAAAAAATGGAGGTTTGACCAGGCGGCCAAGATTAGTTGTGCAGGAGCAGTGGAGAAGCGTCGGTAAAATAACGGCCACCTTCACTCTTTGCATGGTATTCAACATATAATTATAAAACATGCATTGTTACAAATTAAAAATAAAATTAACATTACAATCAGTTTACTTCTAATTACAGAGGTGAGATATATGTACTTACCACGAGCAAGTTATGCCGACAGTCTTCTTCCCTCCAATAAAGAGCAAAAGAGCGCGCAAACGATGGTGGACGCCGATTAAATCAAAAGTGGGCGCAAGATCTCACGAGGTCTCATCGAATAACGCGTGACTTTTTTTTTCTTTATCAACCTTTCCTAGGCTTACCAGTACGTTAGCCTTTAGCCTAACATTTGACTAGACCAATGCCTATAAATTTACTAAGCTTGATAATGTTGTGTAATGTAATATTGTATTGTAATGTTTTTAAGATTTTTTTTAGATGATTGGCTTGTTTAAAGACTATTGGAAAATTGTTGACTTATCCTGATCTAGAGTCTACATCTATAATACATTATAGGCATACTCAACCACAAAATCAGGCCTAGGTCAGAGGCGTATCGGGGGAGAGGAGGGGGGGGGGGAGAGAAAGACTGTCGTTCCCAAAGCGTACATATTTAGGATAATAATGCCTTTATCGGAGCATTAAAATAAAAATGTATTAATACAAGCAAGAACATTTAGTCATGAATAACTAAAATAATTGAGGTGTATGAAATGCAAGTGCCTATCTTATAGTTTCAGTCGACTTATGTGGCCTACTAGATTTAGATCTAAACTATTGGTCAATGAAGGCGCCTGTCTACGACATGGCTTACATATTTTACTGTTATGCGGATGGATGTGGGATATGGGCCTAAGCGATGAGCGATTGAATAATCTAGACAAAGGCGAAAAAGAAAACAAAAGGGGAGACAAAAAATATTTTTTACTCCGTTTGAACGAAAGGGACGTTAGTAAAAAAAATTATGACATAGGCCGTTATTGATAAGATTGCCCTTTTAAAAAAAATGCTGTAGATTTTACAAAAGTTTCAGTAGCTAAGCTATTAAATATAGATCTTTTTTTTCAAATCGATAATATTGATGAAGGGCCTACATTAACTGCTGTAGTGCGATGTGTAGCTGAGATCAACAGTGTCTGTCAGTGTTTCTTCCAGACTTTTTTCTTCGGGGGGGGGGGGGCACTTGCAATTTTCGGGGGGGGGGGGGCGGTAGACTTTCTTCGGGGGGCGGACACTGTTAAAAGTATATATTTTCTATATAAATTATATAAATTTCATTTCGTTCGGGGGGGGGCGGTAAAAAAAAATTCGGGGGGGGGCTTTGCCCCCCCCCCCGAAGAGATGCCTGGAAGAAACTCTGGTGTCTGTGTAAGTCACACACTGTAAGATGTGTATGCCATACTTTACTGTTCTGCCATTCGTGTAAGTTGTCAAAAAAGTATCTGGTTGACAATGACAACACCGTGCGGCGTCTAAACGACCAATGACAAAACGACCCCGACAAATCAACCTCGTCATATTAATGACCAGCAACAAATGGACCCCGTCATATAGGCAACCGTCATTTAGGCTCCCGACAAAAGGGCTCCCGACAATAAGACTCCCGACAAATAGGCTCCTGTCATTTTGGCTAGCGGAGGTAAGACAAAATTGTTACTTTTATGCCAATAGTGGTAACTTACAACCAGTGGCGTAGCCAGGATCGTCTCAAGGGGGGGGGGGGGTTCCAATTTTTACCCGGGGACAAACTTTCGATTTGCACCCCCCCTCATACTTTATATATATATATATATATATATATATATATATATATATATATACCGAGGGGTCTATGGGGGGGGGGTTATGACCCCCCCTAACCCCCCTGCCTACGCCACTGCTTACAACCTTCGGGCGAGAGAGGGGGCAGAAGCTCATTAAACTTAAGTATAGCCTATATTTTTGTATACATTATAGTATTTATATTTAATTAAATCCGGACAGGGCGGTATATATATATATATGTAGGCCTATAAGCCTACGTCGAAGACCTAATAGAAACTCGGGCTCAATTTTCCTTAGCTTGCTGCTGTTAGTTCATCGCTCCACTAGGGATGTTGTACATGTAGGCAACTTAAACGTCACAATTCGTTTAGGCCAACCGCAGTGCGTCCAATTGACTCGATATTCTCAGAGGACACACAATTACAAAAGAACGTAGTTTCTTTCAGGCATCCCTTCGGCATACCGTGTCTTAGAATGAACTTTACTGTTGATCTAAGATACATGGACATTATTTTTCTCCGCCACACCCCCCCCCCCCCCTCGTTTAAGTAATAATGTTCATTACGGGGTCATCCATAAACGACGTCATGTTTTATACATCACCATCGTCACACACACAAAACGAAGACCACCCGCCTAAAATGACGTCAAACATCAGCCTAACATTCCCCCCCCCCCCCCAATCAAAACTGGTTTTTAAAAGTTGTTCCTTTTTTTTTAATCTACATGATTATAGTCTTTAAATTTTTTCTTAAAAAAAAACGCGAAATATCGATTTCTAATATTACTTTTTTAATTGCGAAAGTAGTTACTATTTCTGAAGACCGACCCCCCCCCCCCTTATCTTACAAGTATAAAGTCCGACATCATGGACTCTCTCTGTCCACAGAGCACCACAAACAGCCCAACAAGAGAACCATGAACAATATATGTTTTTCTCATGTTTATTTTTCCCCTTCAAACATTTATTATTTAAAAAAAAAAAACAATGTCTGTAAATTTTATTATTTTTTAAACAGAGGGGTTAATCCAACAAATCTTTTAAAATCTTTATTTCAATTTATTGAAAGTGATTCAGAATTTCAATATTATGTTAAACTTAGAGGAAAAATGTACTTCATACTATAGTCATCAATGAATAAACTGGTGTTGACAATTAAAGACTTCTAATGCTGTACAACAACTAAACTTTAGATAAATTATCACTCTTCATTTAAACTAAAAATAAACCACCTGTCACTTTTTTTTTACATTTTAAGTCTTTAGCTTTAAAGCACTAAGAACAATACAAATCAAGATAAGAAAACTTACCAAGTTATAAAATGGAAGCTACAGAGAATGAATAAATTTAAGGATAAGCAAAGCGTTATTAAAAAATTACACCTAGCATTAATGTATTTCACAGGTAACAATATTTTGAAAACAATACCAACAGAGCTGACAAACTATTACACAATTGCTAGGGTTGGTTCATGTGTTGTGCAATGATTAGAAGACAACTTGTCCAACTTTGCTTGACTAAAAAAACCAACAGAAGCTGATGATGGTGAGGGCTTGTGTTATAACTAACAAAACAAATTCTGTATTAAGTACTGGGTTATACAGGACTTAAATCTTTTAGGCATTCCTAAACTAAGCCCGCCTAGATCTAATGGGCACCTGACTGAAATTGTAAGATGTGTAGAATGGTTATGTGATTCACTAGTATGTGGTACTTATAGAAACATAGACTACTTGTGTACAATAGTCCTGTCACCATCATAAACTTAATAACCACAAGTGTAACTGTACTGAAAGTTATGTAACATCACTACACTACAGCAGACCACAAACAATATGTGCAACCATGTAAATTAACTAACTATATGACTATATGTACATATTCATATTTAAAAAAAAAAATGTGAGGTCAGCACATAAGCAGGCCAAATGATATTTTTAATTTTTTAAAGTAAGTTATTTTTAAAGGGAAATAAATGCACTGTGTAATCACAAATAGACAACTTTAATATTGCTGGTTGTAGGGCCAGTTTAAGACAAATCAAACAATAAAAAAAACAAATCTGTCAGCACTGTATGTATTTAATAAGCCATTAAAATAAGTGAAATTTATTAGGAAAATCAGCTTTTAAAAAAATGTGTTTTTATGTCTGAGCATATTTTGAAAAATGACAATTTTTTAATGCTATTTAGCTGGCCAAATGATGTTAGTATAGTTACAAAAGTGATTTTAAAAGCTTCAATATTTAAACAGTACACTGGTTGTAAGGTATACTACAGAGGTAAGATCTAAACACACACAAACACAAAAACATATACAAACAAGCCTTCTACTTATTTATCATCAAGATTATGAATTGTTATGTTCCAAATGTATACTATGAGTATAATTTTAAACAGTACTATTTCTTTTTTTGTTTTAAAAATTTGAAACCATTATTCATTTTGAAAAAGACCACAATATTCTGTGCTGGTACAAACTTGAATTATTGACAATGAAAAAAGTTTAATAAATACATATCACACACAGCCTAGGTACATAGGACACGGGTTATTCAACAGTTGATACATGACACAGGTTCATAAGGTTATATAAGATTCATCAATGTTTTCCTAGAATGTATTCAGTAGAAGAATAATATAAACAACTTTTTCCCTGTACTTTAGTGAGTTTATGTTTACATTTGATCCACAAATTACAATTTCTTTTTTCTTTCTCTGCTAAATTTTTTTTTAAATCGGCATTGGCCATTGCACTAGTTAATAATGTATGATATAAGAAACTTTAAAAAATAAGTACCATTGAGATAAAAGTCAAAAAATCATTTCAAAGTGTGTATGGTCCCTTATTGTTCATTGAATGCAATCTTTCACCTAAGACTATAGATGTAAACTTTTGTTTAGAAAACAAAATAAAGTACAATTTAGATTAAAAAGAATGAATAAATTTTACTAGGAGGAAAATAAACACTTGTTTTTATAATGATTTAAATGCACAAGTGACCCATAAAAAGACTACAGAGACAAGCAGTGTCAAGGGTCCAGTCAATGAAATAAATGCTGACCTGTCCATCTGATGTTAGGAGAAACGTAAAGGTGAGAACAGCATCATAAATGAAACACTCAGATTTTAATGGAACTAGGACAAAAAAAAAGAAAAACACAAATCTTACAAAGAAGACTACAGAGACACAGATTTGAAGACATGAACAAACTTAGAACAGTTCACATTTGACACATCTACATGAAATATGAATAAGGTATTGATTACATTTCAAGCTAATATAATGAAATACCAAAATAATGAAGAAAATGCTGGAAAAAAATCTGTGCTAATGAAAGAAAGAATATTTTTCAAATGCAGAGTGCCGCATCTAAGTAAGTAAGCTGTTTGCAACAGCCGCAAGTTTAGTCTTTTGAATCCCGCAGATTACCCTAGAAGATCACTTTCGTGATTAGGTGAAATGGGGTCAAAGTTGACTTCTTGTATTTGTGTGAAGATAAAATGTAATGTGTATCAAATGCAAATACACTAAAAGATTTGTGAGGCAAAGACCTTACAACAAAACATCTCCTCTGTTACATATTATAACTTCTTCCATAAATGTACAACAACACAAAAATGAAAACAGTACACTGCGGTTTACTCATATCCAAGTTAAAAGATTCAACTAACTAGAGTAAGTGTTGATCTAATAACAGGCAGTGTTCTTTATTATGTCAATCAGAACCTAGCCCATGCCTGGACTAAGGTGTTACTTCATGACTCCTGGACTGAGGTGTCACTTTGCTCAGTGCAGGTCAAACAGAAATAAATGAAGTATTCACAAGACAGCTAACGCACATTGTAACACACAACTATGTTATTTATTGCAACCCACAAGCTTTATGACATGGTAAAGGACATCAAAGGCTCAACTTTGTTGCAGCCTAAATTATTGAGAGGCAATTTAAAAACAAAATTAAATTCATTTTTGTTTTACATCAATCAATCCACACTGCTAGCATCTAGTCACTGCTAAGTGAGACAACTTTATAAAGACAGCACACAGTTTTTGATGACACAAAGTCAAGTCACATAGGATAATAAAAGAGTTGCGGCTCCAAGAAGAAAAAAATGAATGTAAAAACACAGCAAATGACATGAGGTGTTTGCATGCATGTTTGACAGAACTTGTGGGAAAGGATAAAGCTAACATCCACTGACATAACATTTTAAAATAAATGATAGCTCAAAGTGTAGTACAAAATACATATTGATCACAAGGTTGAATCAAGAAAAGTTGAAATTAAAACAATAGGGATTGGGCCACACATCTTTTGATGTTAGTATTGTAAGATTAGCTTGAGTGTCAAATGTATTGCTGAGTGTCAATATATATCAGTCATAGGTTTTTATTTTAACCTTAATCATGTTGTACAAAGTTAAGCAGCAATAAAGTAACACACTAATGTATTTATATTAGAACTATGTTTTTGTGCTATGATACAAAGGGATTTAGAATAATTTATCTTTCTTTTCTGCTAAAGACTATTCTAATCATGACTATTTGAAAAATAACAATGAGAAACAGCTTATGATTTCTAACTATAATACTAACAAAAAGAACTGTGAAATTATAATGAGTGGCTTTCAATAGTGGTTTAACGTAATTACTCTGAGATATTTTATTACAAGTTTACATTCTGAAGCATATTTAATCAAACTATAACAACACCAGTGGAGATGAAAAAATAAAGTTCCAAAAGTATATGTTAAGTTTTTAAAAAATCAAGTTACAAGTAAATGTAGAAACTACAATCAATTTTAAAGGGTTCACAAAATATGTGATTTGATTAATTTCCTTGTCATTTATTAGGGACATAAAACCTAACACCTGGAAAAATATATTGTCAACATACTTGTGCCAGTGAAAAGTAGTTATATACTAGACCCTGAGAGCTTAGAATATCTAAAAAACAAAAAGTGTATAGATTTAGATTCACTAAATGATTACGCTTAAATGAATTACAAAAGAAGAAAGTAGTAACTATTTTTAAATCTTACAATCCAAAACTTTCTGCCAACTTTATATTTTAAAAATTCAAACACTTATAAACCATAGCAATGGTACAATGATTAAATGAACTTTTCAGTTAAACGCTTCAAGTAATTACAGCACTCAGAAAAAGATCAACGTTATGAACATTTTATAGATGAATAAAAAATTTAACTCCAAAATAGACAATTTTATAAGTTAATACATAAAATATTCATTTGCAGGATCTTTTATTTGATAACATAATAATAACCATCAGAAAAATAATATAAAAATAATAAAAGAACTACAAATCACAATATCATTATAAACAAATTAAACTTGTATAAAATATAATCTCGCACAAAATTAAAACATTTTATAATTTAAATTTAGTTTCCTTTCATAAAATTTAATACTCAACAAAAGACTGAAATAAAGTGGCAGTTGCTCTTTTTAAATAAAACTCCCTGATTAAAAATACATTACAATTTCATCACATTCTTTTGGAATTAAAATACATCTTTTTTAAGAAAATTTAAAAATGTTGACTTCTGTTGTCACATAGTGATCAAACTCACTGTCCCAGTCAGAATCATTAGCAATGTACAAGTTGCCATTGTTACAAAATGCCATCGCAAAGGGGCAATTCACAGACCCCGAAGGAAAGACAAGATTTGATATCAAAGAACCACTGCTTGAAAATAAACTAACTGTATTTGTCTGTTTGTTGCTGCAAATAATCCTATCTTCAATGGCAGCCACATTCCATACGTCAGTGGATCTGGATTCTAAGTCAACAGCAAATTCTTCCTTGCCTTCTAGAGAAAGACAAACCAGGCGCATGGCAACATTTGGGACTCGTTCAAGGTAAAGAATGGATCCACTTTTAGACAATGATGTGACAAGCTCAGGGCCACTCCTGTGTGAAACTAGAAGAGATGTCTGCACTCTATTTTCATGAATGCTGACCAAGTCAATCCTGTTATCTGTGTAGGCGCAGCATGCAATCAAATTCTCCTTGACATATGCCACCCCAAAATACTGGGACTCTGTGTCAATGTCTCGGAGAAATTCCAATCTCTTCTTGGACACCCGGACTAAGCTCAGCTTTTTACCATCACGGCTAACAACGATGGTGTCGGCACTAAGTTTACACATGTAATAAAGCCTGTTTAATTCAAGGCGTGTAACAAAGCTGTGCCTGAATATGTCTGATGAGGAGTTTCCCACAGAGATCTCATAGAGTTTGAGACAGCTGTTGAGGATATCCACAATGACAAGGCATCCAATATTATCCAATACCACCATAGCACTGACTCCTGTTTTACGTTTGTCTCCCTGGGCATGTGGGTCAAAGGTCGTGAGCTTGGTTATGGTAGAGTCAATGCTGGGTAACATAAGAGGTCCAAATGAAAATACACTTTGACTGCTTGTATTGGGTGGTGTATCAGGCTTCAGTTTTTTCTGAGGATTATCTTGCTCTAGCCTTACTTGCTGAACCTTGTTCTGCTGTTGTTTCTGTTTCTTTTGATACTGCAACTGGTGCTGTCTATTGTTTGTCAGGCGTCTCTGGGAATTCTGGTAGAGCACGGACTTTGCCATCTTAGACTGCGGGCCTTGCGCCATCTGCTGCTGCTGTTGCTGCATGAAGGCATTGATCAACAGCTGGAACTGGTGCTGGAAGCGGTCATGTTGCTGGTGCTGCTTCTGGGCCACCATCTGCTTCAGCCTTTCAGTCTCGCGCATGAGCTGTTGCAGCTGGTAGTTCTGGCTGGCAGCAAGCTGCATGTGCTGAATCTTCTGAGAGATTTCGTTCAACTGCTGCTCCATATTTCCCTGGCTCAGCCCAGTGTAGGCATTCATCATACTGCTTTGAGTGGGCTGCATCATTCCTGAACCAACACCACCTTGATGAAAGGGAAAGGAAACTCCTCCTTGTCTGGACTGTCCACCAAAGTGCTGTTCAGGGCCTTTAACTCCTTTGTTTTGATTGGGATTTTGTTGCATCTGGAAAAGACCTGACTGCCTTGCCTGTCGGTTTCCTTGATTTTGAGGTACATTGTAATTCATAGAACCCATGGACTGGTTATGCATACCCCCGCCCCCCATTTCCATTGATCTTGGGCGGGATTGTGAGTTGGAAAAATTAAAGCCAGCACCCCCAAACCCAGACTGGCTTCCAGCTGGTGCTGAATTCATGTTTCGCAAAACACCAAACTGGGGCGGAGCAGAGCGTTGATGGGCTGATGAATTCATATTAGAAAATGAGAAGGGGAATTGTTGATTCAAGCCTTGGGGTTGAAGGAGGTTGGGTCTTGGTCCTAACAGTCCTGGCTGATGAACAAATGGAGTCTTGGGGCCCTGTGACATGCCTTTAAACTTGAACAGTTCTTGCTTTTTCTGAGCAGTGCTTTGAGTGCCCTGAGCATTTCTCTTTTTAGGAGTGGCGGAGATGAAACTGGAGGCCTCCACTTTAATCCTGTATTGGTTTGAATCAGCAGGTTTGGTGAAGTATGACACTGCACTGTTGTTTCTGTTGCCTTTGTTTACAGAGCTAGGTTTACCATTGTTTAAAAACATCTTCTTTGCTTTGTTATCTTTATTTTTGGATGACTGAGCTTTGTTCTTATTCAAGCCATTTGACTTGCTGGCTCCTGTATCATTCTCAGAAACTGATCCACTCCCTTCCAGGCTAGAATCTGAAGCAGATGGAGAGTCACTTCTGTGTATATGCTGTTCCAACAGCTCCATTTTCAACAAATCTTTAACGCTTTTAGCAATTGCATCCCTCTTGGTGGTAAATTTATCAGCCCCGTATTGCCTTTTAATGAGAGACAGCTTGCCGATTTCACCCACTATTCTGTTGATATCGGATTTTGGAACATCAGCTTGAAAACAATTGCAAATGTCAGCGCACTGAGTTAGATCCAGGCTTAGCTTGGTGATGCGATCAACCATGGCTTGACAATAAGAATCATGTGTTTTAAACTTTCCCCAGGTCTCATCCTCAAGGCTGCCATTGGTGCTCCCAACTATAGAGCTAATCTCACCAAGAACTGCTCTAAAGGAATTCAGCTGAGTTGCACTTTGTATCAGCTCCTCGTTCAGTCTGTTCTGGCAAGCCTCTATAGCGGTGGTTAATCTCTGTGCAGTGTCACGAATAGCCTGAGCTTTTCTTTGTTGTGTCTGCAAGATTAAAAAACAATTTCATGTTAGATAAAATAACTGATATATGCTTTCAGCTTAATGAAATACTGCAGCTTAATGGTGTAAAGGAAAAGGTAGGATATTGTAATAGGAGAGGAAGGGGGTTCAACTTAAAACTGTAGTTTTATAACATTTTAAATTCTAAAACTAGCATTTATGAAATTAACGCAATGTTGCTAACAGCTGCAACTTAACATGACAGTTGTTACTTAGTCAAAATCGACTGCCTACATTCTGCTGTTAAGGACAAAAGTATTTTTCATAAAAACTTACACCTAGGTATAACAACATTATTTTTATTCATTTTATTTTTTAGTTGAGAAATAAAGTTAAGTTTAATAAGAAAATCGTATAAAAAATTAAGAAATGCAAAAAAAAAAAAAAAAAAAAAATCTAAATCCACCTTTTCAAAATCTTCCAGACGTCCAAGAATATTTTTCACAGTCTTTGACAAGGAAGTAACTTCTGTCTGAAGTTTCTTTTCTAGAGCTTCCCCTTTTGTTTTTCCCTCATGTCGTTGCTTCTTCACCTGTATCCTGTCCTCTTGAACATGTAGACGCTAAAAACAGACAAACAGCATTGGGATAAAGCCAACACAGTGATAATAGTCCTCATAAATTTGGCACTATTAAAAGTTTTAGGCTTTAATCCAATCAACATATTTAAGCAATTGAATGAATTACAGGGAGGTATTGCTGTAATATTCTTCATTAAATTCCCACAAATGTTTTTCAAAAATGTACTTTAAAATTTATTTACTTTCTTAAATATGTTCTGCAATTTTAATGTAAAATGGTATAAAATATATGGCCTCAAATTTTTAATTTACCTTGACCGGTGTTCCTGGGGCAACACTTAATGAGCAGGAATCAATGGTTCCTGCTAGAAACATTTGGAAATTTGCTTCATCATCTTCATATTTCTGCTGCTGGAACCATACTGTTTCATGAAGTAGGAATGATCCAGACTGTAACATTTTAAACAAATAATATTTAAAAAAAAAACACTTAACATATACTTCGGTATGAAGAGCTAACTTCAAAAGGATAGGGAAACACATGTAGAATACACTAATATACACAAACAAAAGAGTGAGTTGGTTAAAGCAAAAAACATGCTTTGATTCCTTAATAGAAAGGCCTACTAATTTAAAATTGTATGACCTCAAAAATTAGTGTATTTAATTTATATGATTTGCAGTTAACATAAAAATATTTTCTTTGTTGATTCTCTTACATCAATCTCTTGATCTGCATCATGCTTATCTTCGTGGGTGATATCTTCAGCTTTAACGTTATTTTTCTGGTTATCCTCAAGAGACAGTTGTTGAAAAACAGCTTCTGCTTCCTCCACGTTCGTTTGTTTTAACCAGATAGTCTCCAACAGGAGAGGACTCTTATCATCTTCTCTTTCATCTCCATCTGACTGTGCTGACTCCATTTCTGAAAATATAAATTTCTATTTATAACATCTTTAAACATTAACAGCTTTAATAAGGTCATTGTAAAAGAAAAACTATTAAAAAAACTATTACATAATGGGATTTAAAGCAGCAAAGAAAAAATATTTAAGGTAAAGGTAATATAAATCTTTAACATTTAAAATACAAAAAATTTGTTGAAAACACATTTACCAGAGACTTGAGAGGGTTTGAAGAGATTTATTTAGTCTTCGCAACACTTTCAATCCTCTAAGTTACATGTATTTAAAAATCTGTAAAAATAAATGTCCAATAGTAAAATAAACGTAATATAAAGGTTGTCTGTACCACTGTCAGGGTAAAGAATACATGGTTATACATTCTAAAATTGGTTTGATAAGCTAGCAAACATGGACATACAGGCAAATTTACTACACAAAAAAGCGTGAACCATAATTTTCAAAATTTTAAGTGAAATTAATTGTACTCTTATAAGTATTTATAATTTATTTCTCTGGCTGTAACTTTAATTGCTACTCTGATTCTAATTCTATAGGTACACATAGGTTTTTAAAATAAGAAAATGTGTAGGCCTATTTAGTTCTAGCCTAGCAGTTTTATTTTTATGTAAAAAAATTGGACAGGGTGCAAATTGCACAATTAATAATTAGCGCTTTAAGTAAATATGCAATTTAAGACTGCCCTTCATGTACAGAGCTCGTTAAAGAAATTAGGTCATGCACACATGGTTTTAGATCGTAATTAAAATATCATAATAGAAGATTGATGCCATTTTGGTGATATTCTTATTTAGTGTCTGATTATTCTGGAACTGCAGACTGTAAGCCATTTTTTATTTGATGCCGTAATATATATGCCTACATTGGCATTATCAACACAGTCTTTAGAACTACATAAGCTTTTAATTGTTATATTATTATTTTTTACATAAAAATATGGGCCTAGGCCATTTGATTTTAATAAACTTAATCATGACTGTCAGACGAGGGATAATTTCAATTGTGCTGCGTAATGAAATTAAGCTTGCATGCAACATGCACTATTCACAATGAAGTTTGGTTTTTGTCAAGGGGTCATCCATAAATGACGTCACTCATAGGGGGGAGGGGGGGTCTGTTATTTTGTGACTTGTGATGAGGGGAGGGGGGGGGGGTTCAGATGTTGTGACGTCACATTTTTGCATTATAAAAAAGCAATGTTAGAAAATGAATTTTAGACGTTATTTCGCGTTTTAGATAACTGTTTTAATAAATTGTAATATTTTAGACAAGACTTTGGAAAAATATCGATTTTTAAAAAAAATTCAACTGCAATTTTGAGGGGGGTTGTAGGTTGAGGTGTGACGTCATTTTAGGGGGGTCTGGCTTTTTGTGACGACGTGTGACGGAGGGGAGGAGGTAAAAATCGTCCAAAAAAGCGTGACGTAATTTATGGATGACCCCCAACTTGCAATTGATTGTCAGAAACAGCGTTGCTGCAGTGTACTTGATGCAAACTAATTAAAAATTATATTTTATATGTGGACACTGCCGTCAATATTACAAGTTAACCCATGTGTTCCTAGTAGCAAGTCTCTTCAGGTGAATTTTTAAAACGGTGTCCGATAATGGAATCTTCTTTTAAAAAGGGGTGTGTGTTAGTGTTAGGTTACTAGTAAATTAAGATCTAATCTAGATCTAGTAAATAAACACATGACTGGCTAATGTTTAAATGTAGATTCTACATTGATTGAAAAATAACATCGTTGACTTTGCATAGATTTACAATTTACATGCAAGAAGGAAAGAGTGAAGTGTAGAGTAATAAATTAAACTAAAGACTAGATCTATATTTAGATCTAGATCAATAGAAATCTAGACTTGAATAGTGAAGAACAAAATATTTTTGACTTGACAGTCGTAGTCTACTGATTAGTAACTGTACTGGACTGTGATGAGTAAAGTAAACGTATGCGCCTGTGATCTACAGCAATAAAGCGTTATAAAATTTGTTGTATCGCTTAATAGTGAATTATAATGCATTATTTATTAATGTCATTAACTTATGACCTGATCTAATAGATTCTAGATTTTCTAAAGCTTTAACTTCAATCTACCTACTGCACAAAACATAAACTACTTCTCGTCAATACATTTATTGAATGGGTGTGATCGGTCTTTTTTCGGATAATCGGTATCGATACCAAAGTGGATGGTGTTTGTATTATCTATCCTCAGGCCTAACACAATTTGTACATTAGTATTAGAGTCATAACTTACTAACATTATTTTAGAATAAAATGCGTAGACTTATGTTTGAGGGACAACTCGCTCAATTCTATAATGTCAGTTTTATAATTAGTTTTTTTTTTAGTCTATGTGAAAATAATGAATGTGAATGCGGTTTAGACTATTATTTGTGTAAAATTCTGATAGAATTTTGATGGTTCTTTTCAAAAATTAAAACAGATGTTTGAAAAGACAACTATAGTTTACATCATATAAAATCTGTCTCCGCTTTTCTTCACTTTTAAACTAGGCCTAACGATGATGCTCTTTATTTAGGCTAGTTTCTTAATCGATACTAACTTTTAAGCTAGACTATGCCCACTCTACATACAGTCGCATGGACAGGTTTTTTTGTTACATCAATCGTAAAAACAAAACAGAATAGTTTGTACGGGTTTTTCGGTGACATAAATTCAACTTAAAAGTATAATCTTATACATTGTATAAATATTACCATTTTAAATATATGAGTTTTATAAGAAACATAAGGCCGAGGATTTTCTTTTGGAATTTGAATTGCCATTTAAGCTGCTTTAAAAGTTAGTATTATGCCAAAATGGCCGGACATAGATAATTCTTTCACATTTCATAGCCTATTTCTTCTAATAATACAGAGCCCAGGTTACATGTATAAATCCCCTAATGTAGATGGAGCTATAAAGATCTAAGGCAAGGCCGAGTTTGCACGAGAATTTGTGGTACTGTCGAGCACGGCAGGAAGTCAATTTACATGGGACAAAACTGACCAAAGTTGGGTTGTTTATTTTTTTTTTCAATCCACCAGATAAACTATACGTGACCCTCTTCGACCCTGCCGAGTAACCGCTACACTTTTATAATAAGCTGATAGACAATATGTCGAAACTGACCACCGGTCCATTTTTGTTTCGGGCTTTTTACTTTCTCATATATACGAAGTATAGAGAAAGTCTTGTAAGGGGTCATCCATAAATAACGTCACGCTTTTTTTGGACGATTTTTACCTCCCCCCTCCCCTCCGTCACACGTCGTCACAAAAAGCCAGACCCCCCCCCCTAAAATGACGTCACACCTCAGCCTACAACCCCCCCCCCCTCAAAATTGCACTTGAATTTTTTTTAAACATCGATATTTTTCTAAAATCTTGTCTGAACTCTGTCAAAATAGAGTATTTTAATCAATTCCTATTACAATTTATTAAATAGTTTTATAAAACGCGAAATAACGGCTAAAATTCGTTTTCTAACATTGCTTTTTACTTTCTCGTATATACGAAGTATAAAGAAAGTCTTGTAATCGTGCAAAAAAAAATGGAGAATTTTACAAATCTCGACGTTTTAGTCGGAAAAACATATTTTTGCAATCTTGTCCGTATGTCTGTGTGTATGTGTGTCTGTCTGTGTGTCTGTAAACACGATAACTTGAGTATCGTTACAGCTAGGTTGATGAAATTTCATATATAGGTATTATATCGAAATCGTAGATCCTTATCAACTTATGAGCGATTTCCGATAACCGGAAGTGGAACTTTTTCTACTTTGAATTTTTCAAAAGCCTATAACTTGAGTACTATTTCAGATAGATACATGAAATTTCACATGTAAGTAAAAGATCTAATTCCCTGCCTTCTGTCAAATTTTGAGTAATTTCTGTAGACGGGAACTAGTCATTTTCGTTAGTTCCGATTTCTCGAAAAACGCATGTGAATTTGTAAAGTACTAATAATATTCCGCACTATTAAGCACATTTTATTTGGCGTTCACTTGGTGTGCAATTATTTTTTCTACGAGATCGTATTCTATTTTAAAAGGTTTAAGTATTTAAAATGGATTAAAAATCATGTCTATATCCCGAGTGGCCATCCCCTGTTGTTTCATATAAGAATATAATAAGAATATATAAGAAAAAGTTTAGGGGAGATCACTCCCGGTTTATTTTACTTCCATTTCTGTTTTTTAAATGTATTGGATTGAGCGTTGAAAAGTTGTTCTGTATATTCTGTATGAAAACTCAACTTCTTTACAATTATTTTTGCTGTTTTATTGACGTTCCGCTAGCACGTTTCGCGCGGTTTTAGCAAATTTATTCTCAATCAGTAGTACTAAGTATTAGGCCTATTCAGAGGCGTAGCGACCCTTCCCGGCGCCCGGGGACAAACTTTTCTATTTGCACCCCCCTCAAACTTTCGATTTGAACCCACCCCCTCGAGATTTCCATTTGCACTTCCCTCAAACTTTCGATTTGCACCCCCCTCAACCTTTCAATTTATTTTTCCAACCCATTTTGGCGCCCCCTAAGGTCGGTGCCCAGGGACATATGCCCCCCCGCCCCCCCCCCCCCCCCCCCCCCCGCTACGCTACTGGGCCTATTCAACTAAATTAGCACGCTAAACCTATACGAAACGCCGCACATTTAGAATATTAGGGCCCGCTATATAGGCCTGCTTATACTGCTGAACTCTGTCAGATGTGAATTTAACACTAAATGAGTGGTGTCACATGGCAGTGCGGGGTGCGGTGACACCAATTAGGAGGTGACAAAAAGACGAAAAATTGTAAATTGTATTGTCAAAATAGTTTTTGTCCAGTTGAGAAAAAAAAAAGTAGGTGGAGAGAGGTGAAACCTTACAGAAAATGCAAAAAAAATAATGGCAAAATTATTTGGGAGTGGGTGGGGTTACACCCTCAGTTACCTCATCGGCTGTACCCGACCTAGTGACGCCACTGCCTAAAACTAAAAATACACTTTTAGTCGATTAAAATATTAATTGATCAAACTTCTAGAAGAAGGGTTATGAAAGAAGCCTGCGAAAAATTATTTAGCAGTCGTGCGCTCCAGTGGCGTAGCCAGGATCGTCTCAAGGGGGGGGGGGGGTTCCAAACTTTCGATTTGCACACCCCCCCCCTCAAAGTTTCGATTTGCACCCCCCCCCCCCTCAAACTTTCAATTTGCACCCCATCCCACAAACTTTTGATTTGCACCCCCTCATACTTTTTATATACATGTACCGTGTGGTCTATGGTGGGGTTATGACCCCCCTACTAACCCCCCCCCCTGCCTACGCCACTGGTGCGGCTATACTGTCGAGTCAAGCTGCCCCTTTCTAAAATATGAGTCGGGTTAGTTTATACTATATATATATATATATATATATATATATATATATATATATATATATATATATATATATATATATATATATATATATATATATATATATATATATATACACATATACATATACATATACATATATATGTATATATATATATATATATATATATATATATATATATATATATATATATATATATATATATATATATATATATATATATTTAGGCTATATCATACATATTTACACTATCAGAAAGCATAATTAAGATGCACGTGATATTTTTTCTCATATCTACCACGTGACCTACGACCTTTAACTAGCAGTTGAAAACACCAGTTAATGTTGTAACTATCAACTATCACTTTCACTGAGATGAAATATTCGATGTTTGCAGTGGGAAACATGTTGATTGGCCGGTATCATCGCAGACACCTTGCCTTAGGCTCGTCGACCGCTAGCCATCAATTTTTAAAGTCGCAGACAGAAACGACACAAAAAAATAAACAAGCTATTGTCAGTTTCGCTTCAGGCTGCGCGTATATGCAAACGAATTTGATATGTGAGGGATTGTGGGTTTAAAATCTATTAATTTCCTTCGATAAAATGTGGTATTTTTTCTTTCAAATTTGTAGAATTCTTCCTCAGTTCACGGGTAACAACCCAACTGTTTATTATCCGGCCATTTGAATCTTTAAGGAGACGGAAGGCTAGAGTTAAATAGACCAAAGTACACACAACACAAGAGACCAGTACAGAAAGAACAGTTAAAAAACACAGGCCGTATTTGAAAGCACAATAGGCCTACTACTACCTACTACATGTACAATGTAGGCATACTACAAGTGGTGTACAGAGTTTCTTCCAGGCATCTCTTCGGGAGGGGGTGGGGCTCTGCCCCCTCGGTCTACCCCCCAGAGGCGTAGCGACCCTCCCCCCCTCAAACTTTCGATTTGCACCCCCCCCCTCAAGATTTCGATCTGCTACCCCCCCCCCCCCGTCAACCTTTCAATTTATTTTGCCAACCCATTTTGGCGCCCCCTAAGGTCGCCCCCGCCCCCCCCCCCGAACGAAATGGAATTTATATAGAAAACAGGGGCCGGCCCCCCACCCCCTCTGGAGAAAAACAGCCTGGAAGAAACACTGGTGGTGTATCGCTACTACCACGCCTACAAAGTAGACATACTATAGTGAGATGATATACCACTTACCACCTCTAAAAAATAAGCATACTATTTGTAAAGTGATACCACTATTACAAATGCAAATAAGGCAACAGTAACTAAGGAAGGGTGGGTGGTTGCCCTGAGCGCTGTCTCTAGGAGACGCCAAAAGGGTGGAAAATCTAAAAGGCTCAATCTAAATCGTATTTGATTAATTATTCACAGTCAAAGTTAAGGAAATACACTGCTACTAGGCTTTTCGGACTGATTTAACTATTTCCTCCATCAATTCTGTGATATCAAAATTAAAACTGATAAGGTACAGTGGATGGGAAAAAATAGCCTTTTCACTAATGTGAATAATTTTTTTTTTAAAGGTGTGGGTGGAGGGGGATAGAAAAATCAATAGTTCGCCCCAGGCGCCGGAATGCGTGGCTACGCCCCTGACTATCAATCAATACAGTGATTGGGATTATTAAATTGACATAACGAGAGTGCGTTTTGTGACCGCGCCACGCGTTAAACTGGATAACACTAACACCACCTGTCTCAGGTCACGTGACGTGAACGAGAAACGGTTGTCTCCGTTTGGCGGGAAGTTGTTTTGAGCAGCAGATGGCATTACAATCCTGAATTCTGTTCAGTGTTCAGTCGGGTTTCTTTTCCACGATGTTTTATTGGGTTTTTTTTAAGAGGAAAAATAATGTAGAACTTATTTATCGGGAATTTGAAAGTCTCCGCCTCACCTCTAGAGAGCGATTTAAAATTGTAAAAGAAAATGTGGCTCTATTATTACGACTGGAATAATGCAATAACATGGTGTTGAGGCATCTGTGTTGATGAAAAACCCTTTTACTAACTGGTGTGGAAATTTGAACCCCCCCCCCCCCCCCGAGCAGTGTTCCAGACATTTTTCTCCAGGTGAGGTGGGTGGGGGCACTTGATATTTTCGGGGGGGGGGGGGTGGATACTGTTAAATGTACATATTTTCTACTATATAAATTCCATTTTTGTTGGGGGGGGGAATAGACTTTCTTTGCCCCCCCCCCCCCCCCCGAAGAGATGCCCGGAAGCAGTGTTTCTTCCAGATTTTTTTTCTCCCAGGGGGGCACTTGAAATTTTCGGGGGGGGGGGGCATCCACTGTTAAAAGTATATATTTTCTATATAAATTAGATAAATTTCTATTCGTTCGGGGGGGGGGGGCGGTAAAAAAATTTCGGGAGATGAGATGAGAGATGCCTGGAAGAAACTCTGCCCGGAAGAAATTCTACCCCGAGAAACCTGAGGAAACTCGGCTAAGTAAGTTTGCTAAGCTTAAACTGGTCATGGTGTTGTCAATGGGAGAGGGAATGACGTACGCAAAATTTGAGATTCTCTCCCTGTTTGGTGAAGGTCCACTATTCTTCAGCATTGTGGGCTGATGTTAGACTTCTCATAATCCAGTCAAGGACTGGTCAAAAAAAAATCATTATAGACAGCAGTGGCGTAGCGAGGTCGGGTGTCACCCGGTGCGGCACTTATTGATGTCACCCCCTCAGAGGAGTAGCGACTCTTCCCAGGAACTAACTTTCAATTTTCGATTTGCACCCCCATCAAACTTTCGATCTGCACCCCCCCCCCCTCGAACTTTTCGGTTTGCACCCCCCCCTCAAACTTTCGATTTTTTGCCTTGGTGTCACCCCCCTAAATGGTGTCACCCGGTGCGGTCCGCACCCCCGCCCCCCCCCCCCCCCTCGCTACGCCTCTGATCGACAGCACATATATAGAACCTACAGCCTTGTCCGTACTCCAGTGTTAACTGAAAAGTAGCTGGTGAACTTATTGTGGATAATCTGGCAGTTTGTGTCTTCCTAGAGCTGTTGGATGATGTTGATGAATTTCGGTAAACACCGTGACGCCTTTTAAAAACGATTTTACCTCCTCCCTCCCCATCGTCACAAAGAGTTATGCAGTGTTTCTTCCAGACTTTTTTCTCCGGGGGGGCACTTGAAATCTTCGGGGGGCGGTAAACTTTCTTCGGGGGGGCGGACACTGTTAAAAGTATATATTTTCTATATAAATTATATAAATTTCATTTCGTTCGGGGGGGGGCGGTAAAAAATTTTCGGGGGGGCTTCGCCCCCCCCCCCCCCGAAGAGATGCCTGGAAGAAACTCTGGAGTTATGCACCTCCCCTAAAATGACGTCACACATCAGCCTACCAAACCCTTAAAACTGTAATTTTTGTATTTAAAAAAAAGCGATTTCTCTCTCAAATATTTTCTGAGGTCGGTCAGCATTGGGATTTCATTGCAATTTACACTTTTTGATACTACATAGAGGGCTCACGTTTTTTAAATTAACATACCCGTTCCCTTTTGCCTTAATTTTAACGACAACGATAGGTTTCGTGTATTTTGAGGTCAGTTTAATGTCTTAAAATTGATTTAGCTCCCACGATTTATCTCAACATCCACAGAGTTAAGCCCTATTTTAAAAAATAGCCACAGTAAAACGAACATTGAACATCTGTTGTGAACACACTGACATACGGATTATGTAAAATTATGTTTCAAGTACGGGGTAAAAAAAACATTAGACGTAAAGAGAAACAAAGGTTTGTTATAGTTACGGTCTAATTAATGTAAAATTATATCTATAATACTGATACACAAATACTAGAATACAACATGTAACATAGAAGCACGGCGTGGTCGAGTTGTAGAGCGTTTCGCTGCTAGCCCGAAGGTCTCGAGTTCGCATCAGTTCGGAATTGTGACTACAGAACGTCCCAATGGATAGCTAGGTCTAAAGAGGAATCGTTTAAACATAACCCAATATCGTACTCAAAGCTAATGTGGAATAAATACGGAGTAAGGCGGCTCGTTCATACTTTCATCTGTCGGGGTAATCTATAAATAGCGGTACGTAAACTAGAACAAACTAGACAGCAACATAATGTGACGACAGACAACAACTCACAACACGGAGAGTGAACAGTAACTAGAGAATAGATCAACAAGTACGCTAATTTTAACCCAATCACGCCCAGTGTTTCTTCCAGACTTTTTTCTCCGGGGGGGGGGGGGGGGGAGGGGGCACTTAAAATTTTTCGGGGGGGGGGGGGGGGGGGGGGGGGGGGAGGCGATAGACTTTCTTCGGGGGGGGGGGGGGGCGGACACTGTTAAAAGTATATATTTTCTATATAAAATTTCATTTCGTTCGGGGGGGGGGGGGGGGGGGGGGGGGCGAAAGAATTTTTTTTTCGGGGGGTGGGGGGGGGGGGGGCGAAGCCCCGCCGAAGAGATGCCTGGAAGAAACTCTGATCACGCCCGTTTACCCTTCCACCGAGGTTACATTAGCGACATGTAGGCATATACTATACATGTCCAGAAGAAAAAAAGAACTCACAAAAATTTATGTTTATAGGAAAACATTTTTCCAGGTAACGTGTATACTTATTTGTTGCGAGTTTTTTTTTTTCTAAACCTGTATAATATAGGCTACTTGTCGCAGGTTGTAAACGCGGTGTAATTAATACCGATCCTCCGCGTACCTAGAGTTTTTTCCAGGCATCTCTTCGGGAAGCCACCCCCCCCCAACCCCTCTTTCGAAGAAAGTCTACCGCACCCCGAACGAAATTGAATTTATATGTCCGACACCCCCTCCCCCGAAAAATAATGTCTGAAAGAAACACTGCTCGTACCTGTGCGCCATCAGAAGAAGGGGGGGGGGGCTGTGTGTTGGAAGACAACAATCGCGCTGAATCCCATCTAAATACAATGAAGATTCGGCTGATGTGATTTGAAGTTAAATGAAGGGCAGACAGACGGCCTACACATTTTTGTCCGGGGTGGAAGGTGGGTACGTGAAACTCCCAAGGGGGGGGGGGGTGTGAGGTGCATTATTTAAAATTTAAATTTACATTGGGGGGGGGGGTGCGACCACTGGTTTAAAAGTATTTTGTTTATAAATTATATAAGCGGCTTTATTTTTTTTTATTTTGTCGGAGTGTGTGTGTGTGTGTGTGTGTGTGTGAGGCAGTAGACGTATTTTGGAAGGGCAGTACTTGCTCCATTCCCGGATAGATGTCTAAAAGACTGTAAAATAATTTGTAATAGGACTATTATATATATATATATATATATATATATATATATATATATATATATATATATATATATTCCAACAAGTGATGAATATCACTAATGTCCCGTAAATATTATAAGGCATTTGCGCTTTGTCGTTGCATTTATAATACCTGTAAATGTAAATGGACCTTAAGTTCAGAGTTTCTTCCCGGCATCTCTGTGAAGGGGGGGGGGGGGGGGCGGAACCCCCCCCCCCCCTCCGAACGAAATGGAGTTTATATAGAAAACATACTTTTACCAGTGTCCGCCCCCCCCCTCCCCCAACGGAAAATGTTGTCCGCCCCCTGAAAATATCAAGTGACCCCCCCCCCCCCCCCGAAGAAAAATGTCTGAAGGAAACACTGCTCATATAAAAAAAAACAAATTTAGCCTACATAATGCATTCAGTAATAGCCTTGACTCCAGAGTTTTTTTGCAGGCCTCCCCTCCCCCGACGAAATAAAAAATATCCCTATGCCCTATACATTGTGTTAAAAATATAATCCATTGCCCCCCCCCCCCTTTTCGAAATACTGCTTAACTCCCTTTGCATTGTTGAACAGTGCTAAGACCTTTTGTTTTAATTAATTAGTTTTATAAACTCAAAAATACTAATTTAGCTAACGTATGATTAATCGTAAGCATTACTCTTTTAATCGTTAATATTTAATTACGATAGTATGATTAGAATCGAACAGTGTTTTGGTTTTTGCTGCATTGTTAGATCTTGACGACAAAAAATGCTTAAAAAATTAATTATCGCCAAAAATAATTTCTAGTTATCTTTCCATTTCCCGAAACCGAGGCTACTCGTAAAGTCAACGTCAGTCCGAATCACTTGCCATTCTTAGCCTAGCCGACGGTACAAATGATTCTGTAAATAACAAATGGTTTTTAATAAATTCTTGTTCTTGGATTAGCTTTTAATTTTATTTTCTTTATCTAGCAATGGCGGGTTTTTACAATCTTGACCATAAGGAAGTTATTCGAGTAAAAGTAAAAGTAAGTGGCGAGAAATCGAGTTATTTTTTTATTTTTTTTGGAGTGTCTGAGTCTGACTGAGTGTTTTGTTTTGACTTTTTCATTTCTTTAAATTTTAAAACCATAAGCCACAAACTTATGAACAGGTGTAGAATCTAGACTAGATCTAGAATCTAGATCTAGATCTAGTTTGACTGTAGAGTATAATATTAATATTAGTATCATTGTTAGGCCTAACTAAAAAGTAAAAAGCTAGAATTTAGAAATAGAGATCAAGTCCACCAAGACCAAGAAGAGCCATGATAAGTGTTCACAGTTCACAGAGTGAGCAGTAGAGTGTAGTGTAGTAGTAGTAGTGACTAGATCTAGATATCTAGATCTGGATTTAGATTCTCTAGTCCTAGATCTAGAGTTGTCTAGATCTATACACATTCTATTACTGACTACTTAGTACATAGGACATAGTGTCATAGTCCAGTCTACATATATTTTAGCCACAAAAACTTTTATGATAAGTAGTTTAAAGTAGTATTGTCATCCAAATAGAATATATCTGGAAAGTATGAACGAAACCACTGCATTATGATTAGAAGTGGGTCAAAAGTGAGTTACAAGATTTGCCACAAACACACATACTTTGCAAACTAAATAAAATGTAAAGTTCTATTCCAAACCTGATGTTATATGTATGGGGCAATTGAAGTAGAGTTCACCTATTTAAGGCTATTTCTGTGACCTCGGCAGATGAAGGGATAGTGTGTTCAGCACTTTGCCCAGCTGCCTTTTCTTTCTCTATCTTGATTTAGGTACCCAACATTGCCTGGTGGACTCAGGGAGCAGTCTACCTCTCTACAGCTAGGCCACTCCCTCAAACTAAATTTAAGCTTGTAAAAATATTGATCTCTAGATCTGCTGGCTATCGAATCTAAAGAGCCAACTAAAGTTTACTGAAGTACAAGATACCTAGATTTATTCTCTAACTGCTATTTAACATTAACTACTCTAGAATTTTTTTGTAGATCTAATTTAGTAAGCAACTAGATCTAGTCTTTGATTATCTTGCTGATTTATGACTTGTTTTCCATACTGAACTGAGACAATAGTTTTCATTTTTCATCCTTCCATTCACTAATATAAATCTAGTAAGTAATCCAGTATTGCCATTAATAAACAATCACTAATCATTAGTGCCTAGATCCAGAGCCTATTCCCAGTGGTCAGTCAGTTCATGTAATATATGACATGACGTAGGTTTAGAGAGCAGTGTTACTTCATGCTAAGCCTATTGGGCCTTTATTTTTATTAAAAAAAAAAAGATTTGTTTGATAACATAACATATGCTTCATAAATCATTAATGTAACACTTTTGTAGGGTACAATATGGGGTGTAGGGGGGGGGGTTACATGTCCTGTCAGGTTCAGAGTGTGAATTTTAATATAGATCTGCTGAACTATGTGTTTCAACACATTTAAAAAAATGTTTCTTAAACATTATTGCAACAAAACAACTAGAAAGTGTGTGTGGTAAAATACTATTCGTCAAGCAGCAAGGAGATAGATGCCTCAATTAAAGTGATTTATTTAATTATTAATTTTAATTGCAATAGTTAGGCTAAATTAATTAGGTCTATTATCTAATTCCTGTTACGTCCAGCCTTCTATATTTACTATTATTTTACTATTATTTCAGTCTTGTACAACCCACCATATTCTATATGCCATTAGCAAAATGTTTCATATGAATATTGCAAAAATAGTTTCTTTTACTTACACCATATTTACTCAAGGTTATTGAACTGTTATCTGTACAAGATTTAATGTGCTTTATTGTATACTTAAAACTTAATCTTATCACATTCCTGTATGAACATTGACATTTGTCATGCTTTATGATACATCATTAAAATGTGATGCATCAGTTTATCTGTGCTTATTTCACACTTTTTTGACATTGTCATAAATTAAGTACAAATTTCCAATGGATATTAAATTTTGACATTTCCCTCCCCAGAAATGTGATGGCAGAATGCAGCCAGAATATAAAAAGTTTTCAATAGATCCTCAAATTACATCTTTTGAAATGCTGCAAGGAATCTTAGCTCGAGCATTTGAAATCACCAGGTGACATTTTTTAAAATTGACAAATATGTTTGAACTTCAAAATATATGTTTTAGAGGCCTATAGATATTGATTTAGATATTAAATAAGTGCTACTTTTATTTTTAACTAACAAGAATCAAATGATTGCAGTGACTTTACAATCAGCTATTTGGCTAGAGACTCAGAAGGGCAAGCAGTCTATCTGTCAATGTTGTCTGACTGGGATATGGATGCTGCTTTCCAGTGTGCTGCAGATCCATGCCTAAAGTTGAAGGTGGATTTGCGCCCCTTTGAAGAAGGTGAGTTAAGCATTACCAAAGTATACTAAAACAATATACTATTTGTAAGTTAACATGAAGTTGGTTTTTTTTTCCTGCACTTTTTTTTAATGTATTTTCTGATGTATTTTACCAGAACTTGAAGACTGGGATGTTATAGCCCCTGCTGAAATTCCACATCATAGGATCACAAGCTTACTGGATAAAAACTCCATTTTAGGCTCTATAACTGGGACTATAACACAAAACTTAGGCAAAACCGTCAACTCTGTCCAAAGAGCAATGGGTAAGATTATTTTATTTGTGTGATTTGCACAGTTTGGTTTAAATTGTCATTGGAAGTAACAAAAAACACATAGATGTTTTAATTTCTTATTTATGTAGACGATATTGAAATGTTTTTAAATGCCTTTTTCTTTTCAGGGCTGAAGCAAGCAGAAAATGAGGTGATAAAACCACTGAAACCTCCTATGTCTGACATGGAATTTAAAAACTATCTTGATAGTGAGGGGCACATGATTCGACCAAATGAGTTTCGTTTATCAGTTTATCAGGGTGGCATTGAGCCATCATTGCGCAGGGTGGCTTGGAGGCATCTGCTTAATATCTTTCCTGCCAACATGTCTGGTCAGAGCCGTTTTTATTACATGAAAAGGAAAGAAGAGGAGTATAGAAACCTGAAGGAAGAGTGGCTGGAGAGGTTCAAAAACAACACGGCCACAGAGGAAGTTAAATACGTGGCCAGCATGGTGAAGAAGGATGTGTTGCGCACAGACAGATGTCATGGGTTTTACGCAGGGAATGATGAGAATGAGAACACCCTGTCCCTGTTTCACATCCTTGTGACATATGCTCTCACACATCCTGATGTCTCTTACTGCCAAGGGATGAGTGATCTAGCCTCGCCACTGCTAGTCACCCAGAAGGATGAAGGGCAGGCTTACATTTGCTTCTGTGCTCTCATGGGCAGACTGCGGGATAATTTTACACTTGAAGGCAACGCAATCATGAGCAAATTTAAACACCTGTCGGAGCTGTTGAGCATGTACGATCCATTACTCCACGCCTACCTGGTCCAGAACAGCGCAGGCGACATGTTTTTCTGCTACCGCTGGTTCCTCCTGGAGCTGAAACGTGAGTTCCCATTTACGGATGCCCTGTATGTTTTAGAGGTGATGTGGGCCACACTGCCACCTTCGCCTCCGCCTTTTGAACTGGCCCTTGTAGATCCTGACTACTCCTGCAAGCTCCTGTCTAGCTCCCCCTCGTCTCCGTCACTAACCATGCAGCATGCCATGTATGCTAAACTACTAGCCATGCGTAGAGTTGGGGCTCTGCACAAGGCAACAAGGGCATCGCTACCAATATCCAGTCCTGTAAGCAGGGCATCTGCTAACAATAATTTAAGTACAGAAACCCTGCCCCCTGTTAATGCCAGCGCAGTGTCATCTTTTGACACGTCCCCCGGGGACACAGAAGACCGGGGAGACTTCCCAGCAGTAGACAATGTCATGACCCGATCCATGCAAATGAAATCCAACAGCATTGACCTGATTCTTCAAGAAGACACCACCTCTATAGGAGATGAAAATGTAGGTAGCATAGAGGTTAAAGAAAACAGTGAAGACTTTAATGAACATTCTAGGAATAGTTGTGTACTTAGCACCACTTTAACTTCTCAACCAGTATCTTCTGATCTTAAGGGTAGCTCCAAGTTGAGTGACAGTCATTTTGTGGATACTGAGCCATCTGGTCAATCAGTTGCTGAGGTGGGTGGCTACATAGGCACAGACTGTGATGATGAGCGCAATGAACGAAGCTGGAGTATCAATTCTGCTGTTTCAGGCTCCTCAGAGAATTCAGAAGGAAATACCCAGTTTACTTTATCTCTTGATTCCAATATTAACAATTCCACTGAGGCCAGTGAAAATCTGACTGTTGATACTTCCATTGATGTACTTAAAACATCACAAGATAAAGACAGTGGAAATGGATTGTATAAAAAGTCCAAGTCACCAAGTAAAATTGGCGACACCCAAGATGACTCTGGAATTTTTCAAAGCATGAAGAGGCTCCTAGCCTCCCCAAAACGCAAGCCCAACAGCTCCTCTCCAGATTTAACAGCCTCGCCCTCGTCTTCACCTAAAAAATCTGTCAGAACTACCCCAGTAGGTGGAATGTTACCCCCTGGCACAGATGACATTCAGAGGCTGATGAAAAACAACAGCTCAGATTCACACCTCTCAGACTGCCAGGAAGCCACAGAGTCCCTAGAGAGCTCTGTCAACAACAGCCCACACCAGAGAGACCCATCCAAACTTCCACCCCCTCAGGAATTTGGCGCAGGCAATCCATTCCTCATATTTCTCTGCCTGACCCTGCTGGTCCAGCACAGGGAGAAGATCATCCAGCAAGGGATGTGTTATGAGGACATCGCCATGTACTTTGATAGACTTGTCAGAAGACATGATGCCAACCGTGTACTGCATCATGCCAGGCAAATGTACACTGAGTATCTTAGAGCTCAGCAAGCCAACATGGAGAAAGAGAGAGGAGACAGTGGGGAATTAGGAATGAGCTGTTAGTTTATCCATTTTTAAAATATTTGTTTTTATCATGTAACTATTATTTTGTCCTATACATTTTTTTGTGAACATAAAATGTTAAAATAAAGAAAAAAGAAGCGCTTAAAACATTTGGTAAATTTTTTGGATCAAAATGTCATTTTAGTCTTCTTTTTATTGAAAATGTTTTACATGGTATTGGATGATATTCCGGGTTATGAGAGGCATTCATTGAACAATGTTCTTTGTTAAATTTCCTCTAGAAATGGATTTAAGTATCTTCTACCTGATATTACACAACCCCTTTTAGTTTTTGATTCTGTTGTATTGGATATGCATAATTCTTTTTTTAAGGCAGAGGTTTCTGAAGTTTTTAATTAAAGATGCAGGAAATATATTTTGTTAGTGTTACTAGATAGGAAAGGTTATAATTTGTTGTCTCATTAGTCAGTGCAGTTTTTGCCTTGGCTGTTTTCATGGAAGATGCAGATTAGAAATTTGTTTTTAGACTTTCAACATTCAGTTGCCTGTAAGTTAAATTTTTTTGTAGTATATACACATAGTTATAGATTTAAAAAAAAATCATTTTAAAGGTTTGGTTGTCATTGTTATTATAATTTTATTACTAAGCTAAGAAAGTGCAATATTGTGCAACCTTTAAGAGCTACTTATTTCACAAAGCTATAAATCATGTACACAATCCCCAACTTGTTTTTAACAGTATTTTATGTTAACTGGTTATCATGTATTGCATTTCTCGTTTTTAGATTGTCATTTTCAGTGTGAAATTTTATTATAAAACATGCTTTTACTTATTTTACATTCATTTAGATGATCTCACTTTTGCAAGCATAATGATTTTAAAATTTTATTTTAAGATTTTAATACTCATATTTTCAGAGGGAAGCACAAATGAAAATTGTAGTTATCCCATTGAGTTAGGACAGTTCTCATATTTAAAGTAGAATGTTAATGCTGTTGTATAAAAAGAGAGCAAATTTGTTATCAAAATAAGTGTGTCAAGCCCTACTTTAACATAGCTATAGTGGCTGTATCTATACTTAACCATGCATACAATAATATAACTTAAAAATATTTAACTAACAAGTTATATAATATAAATAAGCTGTTGCTTGACAGAGGTAATCTGATCATGTGGCCACGGCAATTGGGGGAATTGTTTGGCCACAGGAGTTAATTGTGCTTAAATGACCAGAGCATGGTGGAATAGTTTGGCCAAAAATTTTCTTAATCTTTACAATTTGTACCTCAATTTACTTGATAAATTTATAGCTTTACATCTCTTTGGGGCTATTATTTTGAAACTGTAGGTGTTCTCTGTACCTGATAGCACACTCACACGAATATGTCTTTAGGAAAATGTATTTTCATCTTCTTCTCATCATAAAAAAAGTATCTACAGTTATTGATTGAAGGCATAGGTAGTAATTAAATCTTCATGATAAATAAAATGTTATATTTGTTGTCTAGACAGAATTTTTTTGGGGGAAATTCTGGTTATGAATTACTAAAGTTAATAGACTAAAAGTAAATCACTCCTTATCTATCATTTGTTTTATACTTTTATGTTGCAAAAAAAAAAAAAATTGAAGAAAACTCATTTTGTAAAATCATTGCATGCTTCTGTATTTGTAAATACATTAAAGTATTCCATTTTATTTTTTCAGTGAAAATAATTTTTTTACACAAATATTAATTTGCAAACTTTACAGCTTATTTTATTTACTCCTACTTAAACTTGGTTCTGGGAATCAAGAACAGTAATTTCAGTTGTGAAGTGTGCAATGATATCGTGCATTTTAAATCTGTTACATTCCTGTTGTTGAATAAGATGCTTTGCTATTTGAACTAGTTACAAACTTAAAATCTCATTGCTTGGACCATAATACCGGTGTTCATTTTGTTTAGTGGTACACTGAACTATACCTGAATGTTGCAGTTCTTCTGTCCTGATTTGATGTATTTCTCTCCATCTCATTTGAAGTTGTCAGCATAAACAATATGACCTGTATTGCCTGTGATACTAATTGTTTGACTTAAAGATGATGAAATTCTTGAGTTTTGCTCAGTCCCGTTTTTCACATTTTATCTAGAAATCATATTCTGATTGTGCAACAAAATATTTTTAAAATTTTGTTCTTAAAGCTTTAATTATGACATTATCCAGTTTGATCAGCTTTTGTTTTAAAAAGTTAATTTGCTTAATCTGTATATAGTCAGCCCATGAATACTCGGCCGTGTTCAAGTTTTGGCATTTTATGTTATTTGGCTCTCCAAATCAGTGTGTGCTTCCATCTTTAGTTTGGCAAAATTTATCTATCCTTTTTTTTAATTCTTAAAGATCCAAGACTTGTTTTTTTTAATAATTTAATTGGGAATTAATTTCCTTTTTATTTAAAAAATAAGACAATTTTTAGGATTTAAAATAGTTTCAGCAAATTAATTTTTTTTGTTAAATTAAAATGTTTGTGCTATTCAGTTTTGAGGTGCATAAAGCTAGTGTTTCAAACTTTGGCCCATTTTAGCATTTAAATTGTAGTGGAGAAATTATCTTGATAATGATGGCCTTGTCATTTGTCAAGTATGGTCAATATGATACACACATGATAAACAAGTGTTCACTGCGTAAAATTATCTGTCGTAGATGAGATTTGCACATTTTTATGACTGGTGTAGACTGCAAAATTAAAAATAGAATATTAATGCTGATGAAAAATATTGTGGATTTAAAACCAGCTCTTAGTATTCTAGTGAAACTTCTACACTTGCATTGTACAGATATGTATTTTTGTTATGCAAAATAAAATAATTTATCCATATTAAGATACTCATATTTATTTATTTATAATCAATTAAAATGTGTAACTAGTTGCTAGGCTGTTTTTAATTAAGTTATATCCACTTGCCAAAAAGTTATTTTAAGATTTTGAGGGAACTTGCGCTACTTTATATATATTATATATGCTTAGTTTTTTATCAAATGGGCACTCAAATTTTAAAACATTTATAAGAATTTTCTTTCTCGACAATCTCTTCTAGAAAATTTGCATTTTGGATATATAAATTACATTACAAACTCATTTTGATTGTGTTGCTCTAATAATAGATTGGACAGTAACCATGGAAACTTTAATCTGGTGTATTTAAAAAAATCCAATATTTTGTGCAATTTGCAGACATTAAAACATAAGATCCATTACATTCCTTTAATTTTCATGGTCTTTGGGTGTACAACTTTTTTGTGTGATGATGCTTAATTATGTTATCTGAATGTATTTTACACAAATCTTTTTTTCCCTACTGAATCTTTAACATAATCATAATATATACAATGTAGAATTCAAAAATTTTTGCACACATTTAACTAAGCCTTATTTAGTAGTCATTACAAAACACAGTTAAGTTCAATTCATGAAATCTCAAAGGTTTCATTAGATTTGCTAAAATAAATAATCTGCAGTATAGAGGCAAAAAGTTTACAAATGTTTTAAGTATTTCATTGTTCTCAAACTTTTTATGTGCAATAAAATGTAAATATGTTGGGTTTTTGTTTTCATCTTATCCCTCTACCATGAAAAATAAATTTTGAAAAATGCTTTGAGTTGTCAAAAATATGATTCCTGTTGTCATCCACAACAAAACCCTCTTGCAAAGATATTTTTTTCTATTAAAAGCTTGGTGTATACAGCAGAAAAGATTGAGAAATTCTGTTATAACTATTAATCTAGAGGGTTGGCGTGGTCGAGCGGGTAATGCTCATGGTTGCTAAACCGAAAAGTCTGGAGTTCAAACCCTCTGGCAAATGAGGCTCGTTAGCTGGGGACAGCCACTTTTCTAGGAGAGACAGCTCCAACTGCTGCCTTGTAGTTTGTTCTTGGTTGGACAAAAGCTATGGAAGCAAATCCAAAAAGAAAAGCAGGCTGAATTCGGAGTCAACTGCCTCAACAGGGCATAACCAGTTGACATGTATACTTAATTGTGTTGGAGGGGATCCCTTTCAGCACTAAAATTAAGAACAAAGAAAATCTAATAAAGTGAGAGGCAAGGTTTTCGTTGAGTGCAAAAAGTAGTGGTTGCAATTTTAATAAAATGAAAGTGACCTATACTAACTACTTCAGTTTGATTATCTGCTGAAATAAGTATGTCACTTTTAAGCAACCATATCACATGGTTTTTTAGTGTGGCTTTTACTTTTAGTCATTTTAGAACAAAGGTCTTCAATTTAAATATACACTAGACTACCCATCATCCTTTGGATAACTATAGACTTCGGGGCTCATCCATAAATGACATCATGTCTGTCACATATTGTCACAAAAAAAACCAGACCCCACATTAAAAAAAAGTTTTTGTCTTTTAAAATCACCTATTTCAGCTGAGCTGAGATCACAAAAAAAAGGTCAACTTTACTTCACCTGTTCAGTGTCTCGCCAAGTCTCAGATATTTTTATCGTTCAGAAAGAAAGATTTCGGCTGAGCATGGCTCTGACCACATTAGATTTTCATACGCTGAGGACACAGAAACAGATTAACTCTATTTCACCTGCCCTGTGTCCCGCTAGGCAACTTTTTACAACAATTGTACAGCTCTACACATAGTGCAGATTCTCTCCTAAAACCAAACAGATAAACAAAAAAAATAAATAAATATACAAACATGTAAACAAACTTGAGTTTTAGTAGTATATATATAGATGGCTGCAGTTGTAAACTGACAAGTTGCTTTTAAAAAGAATAATGCTAATACAATAAATTTTACTCTTGATTTTTTTAATATAAATATTCCCAGTGACACAAACACATTTTTAAAACATCACTTAGCCCAAATAAGAAATATCACATTCAAAATTTGCCAACTACCTAGATATAACAAATACAATTTTTTTTTACTTAAAACGTTGGTTGGATACAAAATGACTGAAACAAATGTATGCAGATTACTAGCAGCTTGACACAGTTAAGAAAGGGGTTTATTAAACATTCCTTACTTAATACATTTTTGTTTGTTCAGTTAACTGCAATGTCGTAAATGCTATTTTAATAATAAAAACTATACAAGAAGAATAATATAAAGAGATCTCTAGCTCGACTATGCTACAGCAGTAGCCAAAACTTCAGAGACATGTGGATCTGTTGATCTCACTGTAAGCTGCATTGTAACTCCAGAAGTATCCAGAGCAAGCTTGGCTCTTACAAGGGCATCATGACCGCCCCTGAAAACTCCAGCAAGAAATAGGGTATGAGAACTTTTTCCTTCTGGAACCTTATCTGACCGCTCACAGGGTTGTAAACCAATGTACTGTATAATGTTCTTGATTGCCTCTGAAAAAGCCAATTAGAAGGAAATATAAAACTGAAAGATACATTATAAAAAATAGGAATTAAACAAAAACTATATACATATGAATTCTGCTCAATAGTTAATGTGTGGGTGAAAATTTGACTAATTTTAAAAAATTGCTGGAAAAAAATGTACAGGTGCTACAATTTTTTTCTTCTGAAATTGGGCATCTGAAAATGATCAATATTTTTGAAAGAATTTTTTTTTTAGAAATGAGATTTCCAACAAAAATAGGAAAAGTTACCTCAAGGATAAACCTCAAGGATAAATTACATTAAATTGATTAATATTAGGATTAACTCAAATTTTCCCACCTTCTATTGTAGACATGGTGGATAGAGCATAAGTGTCTTCAAGCTCATTCTCTGGACCAATCTCTTCCCATGATGCAGCAAAGTTGGGTTTCATAACTTTCTGTACATGATCAGCTACTGCAAGCTCAACATCTTCCAACTGGTAAAAGACAAAATTAAAATGTGATTATCAGTATATAGGAACTGTTATTTATATATTTGTAACAATAAGCCTATAAAAACTTGAAAATTGATAATCTGTTACTGACCACATATTCATCATCATAACCTTCCTCGTCAGGCTCTCCTGTTTGAGGGTCACAATCTTTTACCAAGAATTTCAAGGTACAAGAAAATGTACCAGTTACTGAAAACAAAACAACATTTTGTAGTCCAGTATATAAAGCAATAATCACAATAATATTTCAAGTGGATTAGAAGTTATGTTTTACCTTGTGTAGGCTCAGTTGGTAATCTAACTAAAGTATAGGTTGTTCCAGGTTTGTTGTATGGCAGGCTTGGACAATTAATGTACTTTAAGACCTCAAACCCTTCTGCAGGCTCCATTTCTACAAAGACTTTTTCCAACAGTTGGTCGTTCAGTGTGTTAGTACAGTCAAACTAATGCCAGGAGGAATATTTCTTAATTAACCAAAAGTAAGGTAAGGAATATTTCATAATGAATAAAACATTAACACGAGGAAAATTTAATCAAAATAATATATTGATTTTGATCCAGTTATCTTATTTATAAAAATATAAAGATGGCCCTCACCTGGAATACAATATAATTACTAAATGTATGTTTGATGCACTGAATATAATACTCTGTCTCAGACTCAGTAACTTCCACTGGATTTGATGATTTGAAAAGGGCACCCAAATTAGCCAGCTCTGGTACCTATGTGAGAAGTAAACACATAATGATATGAAATCCTGGCTTTTTAACTTTTGGGTCAATGGACTGCCAGAAAGTCAAAGCAAAAAAAAGTAATTTTGAAAATAAAATAAATCTACAAATTTTAGAAATGTAAAGTTTGAATAACTGTAAGAGGCATACCTGTGCCAACTGTTCCTGATATACATCTTGTCTTGAAGCAGCAACTTTGTCTTGTGTTGGCTTCCCACTTGCTATCTCACCTGGTAAATCACGCACTGCAGGAGAACATAATTTTTTATTCAATCAGTGCTAGCAAACAAACTATTGTCAAAAGTCATCTCTACACATCTCAATACACAAAGATCTAACAGGATTTATACCTTTCTGTTCTGCAATAGGATGAGTTGCCAGTGGAACAGCCTTCAAGTCAAATGGCGTCTCTGTAGGCTCAAGTGTGTATTGGTGCAATGATCTTTCCAGTCCCACAACGGACACCTGTAAGCCTGAAACAATGGAATAATTTGTCATCATAAGAGTTTAAAACCTTAGCTCCAATAATAACTAGTAAAAATATGTTTAACAAGCTTACTGATTCATATAAATATTGGGCAGAAGAAAACAAGAAACATGTTTCAACAATTAAAGAGATGCAAGCGGTCAAGATTTGTATTTGATAAAAAAGTTATTTCTAATAATAATGGTCTTACCATTGAGTATATAAGCAGAGCTAAGAGCTTTCTGCTTCTGCTTAAGAACATTAACATAGAATGTGGCCCTGTCTCTCACTTCATCATCTGAGTCTAACTGGCAACTGCAGACAAAGAAATAAAATTAAAAACATTAAAGAACGATAACTTACAATTTGTTCCACTCCAAAGATTTATGAATCTATATTATTATGTGCAAATGAACAAATAAAAAGTTTCAAAACAAATTTATTTTGTACCGTTCTAAGAGAACAACACAGCTGTGCAAAAGGTCATCACAATGAGCTCCAAACTTGGCTATAGCACTTACTGCAGCTGTGATAGTAAATATAAATATTTATAGAATAGGTAATTAAAAAAAAAAATCCAGTCTATATACAATATGAAGAAACATGTATTACTAATTTTTTTTTAGTCTAATGTCATCATAAGATAAAACCAAAAAGTAATTTATTGTAAAAACAGTAAGGTATTGTCAACACAAATCAAACCAGTAGTGAATAAAACAACTAACCAGCACGGACAGCAGCATTTTCCAGGATGACTCTATTGTAAATAAACCTGATATATTTAGATGGGGTTGGCGTTCGGGGCCCTTCACGCCCTAATAGATGTAGGATCTTGGTAGCCAAGACAGTGTGTTCACAGTCTTCAATAAACTCACAGAGGTGAGCAAGACCTGTTTGAAAGTTGACATAAAATAAATCTAGTTTGAAAAATCTATACAACGAAATCTATATTAATTAGATAAAAAATAATTTTTATTACAAAAAAAGTCGCATGTTAAAATTTATAACAAAGCCTGATTAACACATGCCAGTAATTTCACTACAACACTTACCAGCTTCTTTAGCCTCAGCGTTTTCTTCTATGGTAACAATTATACAGTCAACTATTTCTTTCTTGTAGTCAAATCCTCCCTGATGAAAACATTAAAAATTTTAAAACAGATTGCAACACTGAACTATAACAAAAATAAAAAAATAAACAAAATGAGCCTACATTCATGCTGATACAGATTTTTTAGGTTGCAATTGCCTAAATTTTACTTACAATATTACAAGGCCAATTTTCTTTTACCTCATCTCTCAGCATCTGGGCCAAGAATGTCATCAGTGTGTTATGCTTGCGAGGGAATTTGGAACACAGGGAGCGAATGGCCTGGACAACAACAATCTTGAACTCATCTGAAATCTCAGACATAAAAGTTGAAATCTGCTTCATCAGGCGATCAACGCTGCTTTCATTTCCTGTTTTCAGGAGAGTCGTGATGGCCAATGTGGCGATGCTCCTATTCACATCAGTGATTAAATTCTCAAGGTCAAGATTGCAAGCAGTGACAGCAGCTGGGTGTTTGATTGCCACCTAATCAAGTAAATACAAATTCTTGATTAATGAGTATATTAAAACAATGTAAATAAAAACAAAAGTTTGCGATGTTCAGTGTATGTTTAAATGTTTATACAGTCTTAACAATTTTAAAACAGTCTGAACAATGAGCAGGGTTTATCAAGTCTGAACTCAAGGGAAAGTACAATGGCAATTTAATTTTGAAATTTTCTCAGAATTTAAATGCCCATATTAACTGAATCCTTATATGCCCATATTAACTGAATCCTTATATGCCCATATTAACTGAACCCATCAAATGGAAAAACTTACCTTGTTTAAGGTCCTGACTGCAGCAAATCTTAATGTAGGTTTAGGTGAACTGCAGAAAAGTTGCAGGACTGACACAGCAGGTGCAAGATCTTTAGCTGTGGTGTTCTTCAACTGCACAATGGCATGGGCAGCTTCATAAATAACCATTTCTGATTTATGGCGGAGGCAACTCTCAATGAAATCAAACATAGGACTGTCAGAGCCAGCATCTTCTTCTTCAATAAGTTTGGCTGCTATACGAATCTGTACAGAAAATTACATTATAGATTTAAAATAAATACTTCAAATACAAATATCATCACCATCATCTTTTCTCATTCGATCCATGAGACAGATGAAAAGCTCATCTGTTTCAATGACCTTAGCATACAGGGGAATCGCACGGTCATTACTAAGCTCACCACTCCAATAAGAGTCATCGGAGCTAGGTGAACTCAGGAACATCCTGCAGACATGAGACTGGGATCTGAACTTGAGACTTCCAGACAAACAGCCGTAATGCAAAAATAATGTGTAGGAAAAAAGGTTCTACTTACCAACAAACAATAAGCATATGGGGACTTCAGTGTGTGCTTACTGAATTTGCTCACTAGCTTATTCACAGCTAGTTTATCAGTTTTACGAATATGATACAGCAAACCAAGAGCATGAAACTGAGGAAATTAAACAATCAATTTGTAGCTAAGGTTAATAGTTAAACAAAGGCACTAATAATAAGGAAACATAGAAGTTCATTATATTAGAACATATAGATTAGCAATAATTGGATCTGCTTTCAGTTTTTTAGGGTTGATGGTGGTAAGACATACAAAAATATGTATTGTACTGTAGTGGTTAATCCTCCATCTCTCTTAATATCTGCTTGTAGATAGCTATACTAATATATACTAAAGAACATTAACAACAGAAAATTTTATACAACATATCAGAAAAAGTACAAGAGAATGATTTAATTGATAGGCTTCCATATTGACTAAATTCCCAAACCAATACTCTTGGCACCCCCATCATCATCATTCCCCCCCCCCCCCCAAATCCTACAACAAAATGAAATTTTATGCAGAAAAATGTTTAAAGAATAACGTAAAATCAACTGACCTGCACCATAACGTTGTCACTGTTAACAGCTTCCTGAGCTTCATTAACCCAGCGCTTGATTACTTCGTGACTACCTTTTCCTAAGTGCTTAAAATTATATATTACTATTAGTATAACAAATATATACAGTGAAAGAAATAAAAAGAAGTATTAATACTTTCACTATAACATTTTATTTTGCAAATGGTCAGTAATTTTAGGCATAAAAATCAGCAATGAATTGAATGTAACTTTTGAAAGCTAACTACTAAAGTTACAGAGATGTATTTTTATATCTTTTAAAATATTACAGCAGAGTCATAAGTTTTATTATTAGAACTATTAAGGATTTGCTATTGTACTATTTTCCACTGGAACCCAGTAATCTTTGCCAGCATGAGTTACTAAGGCAAGTATAGATCAAAGCATGGCTAATCATTTGAATTAAGTTTTAAGCTATAAATATGTAGACCCTTTTCTTACCAAAGCTGAAACAAGAGCTGCACTGGACACCCCAGAGACTTTGTCTACTATAGCCTGCTTCATGTACCGTTCTATACTTTGAAGCATAGAGTGCTAGAAAGGATAATAAACGTATACATTTAAGTTCAAAAATCTAAATCAAATTACAACATTTAGAAATAAAAAAATCCAAAAAAGTACTTAGTATGTAACAGATCTAAAATAAGTTTGTAATTTAAAACCCAGCATTGATAATGTTGTTAACTAAACGTTTTCTGTTCAACGTATCTAAATACAGAAGTTTTACTTCAAATTTTAAAGTTTGTTTTGGTTAACCAAAAATATGTACTAGATCTAAATCTTGACTATTTAATAAAGGCATAAAAAACATACATCTGTCACCGAACACAGTGCTCGTATAGCAGGACCTCTGAACTGATCTTCTTTACCAGTCATGTCTTTCATCAAACTATCAATACAATTGTTAAGTGTTTCTTTTTTTAAAGTATTTCAATAACATATACTAATGCAAAAAATGATTTATAGCAAAGGTTGTAATTAAGTAAATTCTTAAGTGATGCTATAGAGCCTAAGTAAAGCTAAATTTATAAATATTTGTAAAAACTACCTGCTTGTAACAATGATGACATCCTGAGCAATTTTTGACATTTCTTTAATGCCAAGATACACTAATCTTCTAAGAATAGGCTGCATAAAAAAAGGTTTTGTTTTAAAACCAGCTAAACATTAAAAACAAAACAGTAATTAAAACAATATCATAGTTTATCATGGGTTCATTGTTAAATGCAATACTACTTACATCTTTAGACTGAAAAAGCTTAGTCATGGCAAAAAAAGCCTCTGTTGCCTCTGTCTGACCAATTGGCTCTCCCTAAAATTGAAAGGAAAAAAGAAAAGAATAAAAAGAAAATATGTGCTGCAAATGAAAGAGCAGTTCTAAATTATAAAATAATTATTTAATACAAAATCTTGTGTTGTGTATGATTAACAATAATTGGCTTAATACCATAGTTGGAAAATTATAGATACAAAATAAAAACAACAAATCAGGTTTTAATGTATCTGTTACTCAACTGTACTTCACTAACTCATCACAGCAACACATGAAAGGTTAGGCCTAATATTTTTTTTGCTTAAAGGATAGCATGTTACTATAAATTACAATAACTTCAATGTCTGAAAAAAAAATTAAGAAAAAGATAATGTGCCAATACCTGGTTTATGATGTAAAGAACTTTGGTGAGAATATGTCCACATTTTCTTGGGTTAATTGGTGTCTCATTAAATGTCCTAGCCTAAATAAAAAAAAAAAGATATATTATTATAAAACAACAACGTAGAATACTTAATATAATTATAACATTCAAGTGGTAAATTGGTTAATTATTTTAATATAGAAAAAGTAGACATACCTCTTGTAGGACAGTACTCTTCTCCAAATTATTGAACGGATTGCTTCCACCTAAGTATTTAAAAAAAATAATTACAAAGTAAAGTGATAAAGGCTTAAATATACCTTTGTTTTATTCCTAATGCTGTCAGTGCTGATAAATATATAATTCAAGTGTCTTAAGTCAAGTCTGGGTAAGTATCACAATCAAATTTGCAGTAATCAAATCATGAACTCTAATTCACCTAAACACAAGGCAAAAGATTGGAAATGTAACTCTAGACCTACTGACTTGCGCCGTAACTCTATTATGTTTCCGATTTATAAAATTTGTTTTTATTATTTCTTGAATCATGCTACAGCCTTCTCACTTGAATCAGTAAAACATTTCGTTGACATCTGTGCATTTTACCAGAATTTAGCCTACAATGTCACAAGGCCGATGGTTTTCTGCAACCTTCTTACATTTTTACTCCCTCCCCCTCCCCCAGAATGCAAGAACTTCCAATACTTCACAGTCTCATCATAATAATGGAATTTAAGGTAGATTAACAGTGTTTTTTGTTAACACAGTGAGGACCCTCCCTCTGACTTATTACTTAGTTACCTAGGAAAAAGCCTAAGGCCTTAACAAAAAAAAAAAGCAAGATTTAACCACCGTGGTCAACAATGTGAGGCTATGCAGCAGAACCGACTTCTTAAGGTTTAGGCCGATAATAGATGGAAAAAGATGCGCTTAGCGTTACAATTACGTGATTTTTCTTGTCATCTACATGTTTGCTGTTTAGGCCTTTGTGTTGATGGGACAGGGATTAACACAATAAATACTTAAATAATAGATTTAAATATGCTACTAAAATAGATTTTTAAAAATATTTTATACTTATCTTATAGACTAGAACTCTTTGCTAGCTATACTATACTTAATACTAAGAACCCTCAACCCCTGACGACCTGCCCAAAGCGTAACTGCTCGACCACACTGTACAGCTTGTTTTGTCAGTAGAATAAAGCTAAAACTAAAGGACTAATTTAATGCCATTGCGCAGCTAAAAAAGATTAAATTGAGTCCATTGCACAGCTCTAAATAATATTTTATTTGGGCCCATTGCCCAGCTATTTAGGTCATTTCGTTTTGCATCTTCTGCCGGCCAAATTTTTAGGTGATTGCCCTGCCACCTTTCTTTGCTAAAACTTTCCCTAGGCTTAACTGGTTGGAGTCTCAAGCAGTGAGTGAGTGATTTAGATTTCTAGCCTAGATTTACTTTTAGATCTACTAGTAACTACTAAAAGTAACTAGTTAGTAGTTACACCACTTGAAACCCAAAATTACCCAAGTGACCAAAACTAAATCTGAGTCTACCTACTCTCCTACACTTACTATTGCAAACTAGAATACTAGATTTAACAGTTTTAACATTAAACTGGCCGTTTGCTTAGCTTAGCTAAGTAAAAAAAAAAGTGATGTGACGGTCAGTCATCAGTGACAGTCACAAGTGTGTTGAAGTGTTGATTGAGTGACTTGCTGTACTGTACAGTGTAGTTGTGAGTGTAGTCTGAGTGTAGTGTAGTCTTAGTTTTTGAGATCACTCAGTTATAAAACTTGCAGTAGTATATCTAGATCTAAGTAGATCTAGTAATTAGACATTTTCATTTAGTAATATAACATCACATTTACCATCTTCTTCTTCCTTTTTGTCTCTTTTTAATGAAAGCATTTTGTTCTACTTAAAACAGTAGTCTAGAATTTAGCTAACGTTATTGTTCCAACAACAACAGAACACGTCAAAAGAGAAGTTGCTCAATGCGCAAGTGCGGAAGTAGAAACTATTTAGAAAGTGGCCTAGGCCCCTAACTAAAGTCCTAAAGCCTAGGCCTGAGTAGTCGAGTCCTGTGGTTTAAAGACGATAGATCTAGCTAGATGTAGATCTAGATTCTAGATCTAGTTCCTCGTAACTTTCCCAAAAAAATAAACTGAATATGAAGTTTAAGATTTTTAAAATGGTTATCTTAGTAATATTGACAGAAATTAACTCCGTTATAAAGTGAGGGAAAATCTATCATTATCATTGTTCGTCGTGGGCTCTTGAATTTAACCGTCCTGTCGTCCCTATAAAATACAAGATTCCTGGATCTAGGGTCAAAGCTGCAGATAGACTACACCTATTCTTTTAAAACAATCATAGGTCAAAAGAAAATCAACACATGATTACTTATTTTGATCTATATGTACGCTACGTCACTTTCGTCTAAAACAGCCTCACATAGAACTAAAGATAAATTTGAGTAGGCCTACATGACCCACAAAATGAAACATTTTGGAAACATAATATGCCTAGAATCTACCTAAGTTTTAGGCTTTAGGGGTCGTCCATAAATGACGCCACACTAAGAAGCTGTAATGGGGGGGGGGGGGGGGGATGAATTTTAGCATTTTTAGGACGAAAGCTTGACGGCACTCTTTTTAAATTTATTTTTAAAAAAGTAATGTACGAAACTGAATTTTAGCCGTTATTTGGTGTTTTTGTAAATTGAAATATATTTTTAAAAAATAGCAGTGTTGGGGGGGGGGGGCGGACGGATATGTTGTAGGTGTCATTTTTTTGGGCGGGGGGAGGGCGTTCTCTGGTCTGATCTGTGACGGTAGTGAAATAATTTTAAAAAGCGTGACGTCATTTATGAATGGGATGACCACATAGGAAAGTATTCTGCGTGGTTATTTATAAAATATTTATTTATATGCTAGTTCTATATTTAAAAAAAAAAAACATCCTTTAGTATTTATAACTCAACCTTTTCCGTTCCCGCTTTTTTAGGCGCACAAGAGAGACAACAACAAGTTGACCATTTTCCACTCACTAGTTTACTAGTTGCGTACCTTGGTTAAATAAACTGGAATGATAACAATCCATTTAGATTAACATTTTTTAAAAAGTAAACAAACAATATATAGCAGCCAAAGAAATTAATGTATTGTAGGAATCAGGAGTGGCTACCTTCAGAAGAGAACAGTGTTTTTTTCAGTCGGGAACGACGACTGATTGAACTTGAAGTTTCTATTATTCATATAAATTTTACTTATACCCGAAAGAAACTACGAGGGCTGTATCATAAGGAGGGTGCAGGGGTAAGGACTGGGTGACACCATTTGAGGGGGAGGGGGAACACCAAGGCTGCTTATTGCAAAATATGTTGAAAATATACAGAAAAATATACAGATAAATAAATGCTTTTTCAATTTCAATGAATTATAAACTAGTTTAATAGACCATAATCTTAGAGTACACAACAACTCTGGACGAGACACTCCGTAGACGTGAACTTTCAAATTAAATTGTTGTATAGCAACAATTCTACATCTATCTGTAATAGCTGACTATCTATAGATGCAGAGTTTCTTCCAGGCATCTCTTCGGGGGGGGGGGGGGGGCAAAGCCCCCCCCCCCCCCGAAAAAAATTTACCGCCCCCCCCCCCCCGAACGAAAAGAAATTTATATAATTTATATAGAAAATATATACTTTTAACAGTGTCCCCCCCCCCCCCCCCCCCCCCGAAGAAAGTCTACCGCCGCCCCCCCCCCCCCCCCCCGAACAGTAGGCATCGCCCAAGGCAAAAAAAAAAAAGCTAACATGGAATGACATGTGATACGATCCGATTGCCCACCAGAGACAGTCACACTCATGCAAGGTACGGTGCCAATGGGAGGGAGGGGAAAAAAAAAGAAAATCTCATCAAGGACTAGACCGGATGGATGCCCGGTTGCAGTATCACTATCACTCAAAGTAAATGCAGCAGAGGACTGGGAAGCTGTGTGGATAGATAGAGAGATGGATGGATAGATAGATAAGATTACATATATATTAATAAGATATCTCCCAGAATTATGTTGGGGGTGGCAGCAACTGAAAAGTTTACAAATTTACAGAGGAAAAGGTTTAGTTTGGGTGTTTAGTAATTTGGGGAAGGGGGGGGGGGGCGGGTAGGTGACATTACATTTTTGCTAATACTTTACTGTGAAAATAAATTGTTTTTTCCCAAGTTGAATTTTTATCCGTTAGAGAACTTCGTAGCTAAGCAAAAATTCGTAACAACTTTTCTACTTGTATTGGGGATGGGTTGAGGGTGGAAGTTGGGTCGGAATGAGAAAACAATCCAGCTTCATCCATGTGGATTAAAGGTGGATAAAAAGCACACACGGACATTTGACACCATGGGTGTGTTAGAAATTGCAAATTAACTCCAGAGCATAATGAAACAATGCATTGTCTAGCTGATTAAAGTTTAACACTAACAGACCTACGCAATCCATCAAAGAAAGATTTGTGTGACACCACATTAGACTTTGCATTGGAACAGTCATTTCACGAGTAGGCCTAGATCTATATTATTTATTTAGAAATTCAATCTCAGCTTTTTTTTGTCGTAGATCTATAGGCGGCAAGTCTACTGTTGTAGTGAGTGAAGTAATTTAAAAAAAAAATATATTTAAAAAAATAAAGCCCCCATAAAGCCTATTTTCAAGATAAAAGCAATTTACAAATCAATCAATCCATTATAAGTGACGATAACTGAATGTTTTATTTTATCTACCGGTAGGCTAAATCTATGGCAGATGTTATGAGCACTGGGGGCTATGAAGTATGAAGTTTACTGTTTTAATTTGTTTTAAATAAATTATAGTTACATTTTAATGAATTAATACGATATTAAAGTTATATATTCTAGATCAAGCATCTACATTCAAGTGTAGATTCTATGTACAAAAAAAGTTTAGATTGGGTTTGTGATAGGTTAGTAAATGAAAATAGTATGTCGTCCCTCTTGGGACGTAGGCCGCTGCCAAGTGCTTTCTCCAGGCACCTGTTTGTGTTTTCCTAAAAAGTTTAAAACTTAAAACGGTGTCAAAAAAATTGCATTTTTTACTTAGGATAGAATAATTAAAGTATCAAAGCCTAATCGGGTTTCTAGGGTACTTATTTGTATTTCACTTCACATTTTTTTTTGCCTAAGGCCAGAATCCTAGATCTAGATTCTATTTCTAGAATCTAGATTCTAGATCTAGAGGATCTAGAAGATTGATTTTCGCGGGAAATTATTTCATTTTACATTTTTGTATATTTTGTGTAAAAGTTTGCATTCCGGTTAATGTTTAAGAACAAAAATTACGTTTAAAATTATTAAGCATTAATAGTGTTATCTCGAAATTTATTTAAAATACACTTCAAAGTCTAACATGAACAAGTAATAATGTTTGTAATGTTTAATCAAAGTTATATTTAAAATATGTTAATTACATCCTAATAAATCAATACAAATTAAGTTTTTTATTTTTTATTTTAACACAATGTTGATTACACGTGACCCCAGTTTCCATGACGTCACCAGCATGACGTCGGCGGATAGGGGTCGTGCTTGGCAACCGGAGGCCATTCTTTGATTTAGCAACAGTGGAGCGATAGATCCTCGCTCGTTTGTTTGTTAACTTACATGTTCAGAGGAGTATTTTCTATTAAATTACGGATTTCTGTGATATTAATTAAGAAAATGTAGTGTTAAAATTAGGAAAATGTGGTGTGGGAGGCGTCCTTTTATTCGTTTACAATGGAATTATGACAACTAAAGTGAAACCTCTGCTTGTGCAGCAGCGACAACCGCTGATCGGAAACATAATGTACACACAAACTATCGAAGGTAGCCACTCACACCATCTCCCTCCATTAGCGAGCCAAACAGTTGGAGGTGGTGGTAATAGTGGACATGGTGTAAGGGTCCAACAATTATTTGAAGATCATAAACACCATTCAGATAAACGTGAAGTTATTCAAAATGGCGGCGGCGGGGATGATCAGACTTTAACTCAAGGTATTCCTCGTCCAAGTTCTAGTGCTGGTAGCACAGGAAGCAAAGGATCTGGTGTTAGAAGAGGTAATAGAATGAGCCCCGAGCTCGCAATGAAGCAATATATGTACAAACTTAGTTCATATGAACACCATGAAATTTTTAGTTATCCTGACATTTATTTTGTTGGACAAAGTGCCAAAAAGAGACAAGGAGTCACTGGGGGTGCAAATAATAATGGTTATGATGATGAAAATGGATCTTATGTGCATGTGCCTCATGATCATATATCATATCGCTTTGAAGTCCTGAAAGTTATTGGTAAAGGTAGCTTTGGTCAGGTAGTCAAAGCTTATGACCATAAGAATCAAATCCATGTCGCTTTAAAAATGGTAAGAAACGAGAAAAGGTTTCATCGACAAGCACAAGAAGAGATTAGAATTTTAGAACATTTAAAAAAGCAGGATAAAGATAACAACATGAACATTGTGCATATGTATGAAAATTTTTCTTTTAGAAATCACATTTGTATTACTTTCGAGTTGCTTAGTATGAACTTGTATGAGCTGATTAAAAAGAACAAATTTCAAGGCTTCAGTCTACAGTTGGTTCGAAAATTTGCTCACTCAATTCTGCAGTGCCTGGATGCTCTTTATAAGAATCGAATCATTCATTGTGATCTCAAACCTGAGAACATTTTGCTCAAGCAGCAAGGTCGTAGTGGTATTAAGGTAATAGACTTTGGATCCAGCTGTTACGAACACCAAAGGATTTATACCTACATTCAGTCAAGATTTTATCGAGCTCCAGAAGTAATCGTTGGTGCCAAATATGGAATGCCCATTGATATGTGGAGTTTAGGATGTATTCTAGCTGAGCTGTTAACAGGTTATCCTTTGTTCCCTGGAGAAGATGAAGGTGATCAACTAGCATGCATCATTGAGTTGCTGGGTATGCCTCCACAAAAGCTTCTTGATCAAGCTAAAAGAGCTCGCAACTTTATCTCATCCAAAGGATACCCCAGGTACTGTACTGTGAATACATTGCCAGATGGCAGTACTGTCCTACAAGGAGGACGTTCCAGGAGAGGAAAGACACGTGGTCCTCCAGGGAGTAAAGATTTGGTGACAGCACTAAAAGGCTGTGATGATCCAATGTTTTTAGATTTTATGAAAAGAGCATTAGATTGGGACCCTCAACAGCGCCTTACCCCCACTCAGGCTTTGCGCCATGCATGGCTGCGGAGACGTCTACCCAGACCCCCAGCTTACAATGGTGAAGTGAAATCAGATTCTGCATTGAGGAGAAATTCTTCTGGCAACCGCAGCACCGGCATGCCAAAGTTAACAAATGGGACAATAACCACTGCCAGTGGAAAATCACGTCAGCTTGCTATCCAGGACGATTTATCATCTCAAATAAATACAAGAACGAAATTACCCCAGATTGGGTCTACAATGTAGATGTGCACTAAAAGTGGAATTATTATTTATTCATAAAATAAGGAAAATGTTATTAACAAAATAATTTACAAAAACATTTATTTTTCATAGTGTCTTTACAGTGTTTACATTATTATTAACCAACGTTCCTTCTCTACACTTTTACATATCAGAAACAAATATTCCTCTTATTGTTTAATTGTTCTTAAACAAACATAAAGATGTCTGTCACAAATATATTATTTTATATTAATCTTTTACTTAGTAATTACTAATATTGTTTTCAGTTTGCAGTTTTGTTGGTGCCCATAATTATTTCTTATTACTCAAAAAAAAACATTTTTCAGTATTATATATTCATTATATTGTCAGAGCTACACCACAAAGTTTTGACTGTTTATTTGTCAAGTAGACATACAGTTCCTGGTTAGAAACAAGTATTGTTAAAAGTGTAGTCTATACAAACTTATATCTCTGCATTCTTAAGTACATTAAACCACTGAAATTGAGTATAATAATTATTAAAATTAGGTAATTTCGTTAAAAAAATAATGCTTTTTCAACCTAAAATTTTGTTTCTTAAAGAGCTCAAATTAAAAACATACATATTATTTAATATATAATCATTATTTTCTCCTGAAAATCATCTAAAGTAATTAGTTTTATTGAAACAAACTATTCGTATACAAGAAACATGCGTGTCCTACAATACCAGATTTTAAGTTTAGTTAATGGATTACTCTTTCTCTTGTTAAATAATAGTTTATAAAATAATATATATACATATATATATATATTTATAAAGATAACAATCCACTTTAATGTGAAGCTCATTTGTTATTGTTGTTTTATAAAGTAATCTTTTTTATAAAATATGAGTGACAAAAATATTTCCTTTCTTTCTTTGTAAAGAAATATTGACACACACATTTGATATGGTTATAATTGGAATTAATATTCCTTGTTTAAAAAGTTTTTACTCTATTTGAAATGTTAAATCAACAAATCATCACTTTCTGTTGTTTTTAAAAGTTGTTTTAATTCTATTTTTCACAAATTGCTTTTTTGATCAGAAGTTCCAACATTTTTTTAAAAAATTTGATTACATTTTTCCATCTGTTACTGCACATATTTTAAACTACAGATGGCACTATTCCTTAAAGTCAAAATAGGATTATCAAATTCTTATTAAATTTGAAATGATAATAAACCATTTTAGTAGATAAAAAAGGCAATAGACTTAAACATATGAGGGATAAGAAATGTGTATATCTAGCAACTGCACCCTACCATGAATTAGACCTATAGGTAAGAAATATTGATTTTACATGGAAAAATTGCAACATTCCAGGCTCTGAGGTGTCGTCCAAATGTTGTTTCCAGGCTACCACTACAATATTTTAAATATATTCCCTACATAACTATATTTTTTTATATATCAGTCAGAGAATCTTTCATTTGTATCTCCTCCTTTCACTGATTGATTTTTTTAGGTTAGAACTTTCAAGGCTGGGTGTATGTGTTTGATTCATGCTTTCATGCAGTAAATTGTCTTCATATTTTATTTGTTTTGATATTTCAAATCTATGTCTATGTTACTTGTATTGTAGTATCTTAAGCTTTTAACATCCATTAGTTTCATTCATAATGAAAAGTTTATGGATTGAATGTTAAGAGATTAAAAATACAGTGGTCAGTTTCATTTTTTATATTATATCAGTATTATATTTTAAAATCTTGATTGCAATATTTTAAACAAAATTATTTGGCTGACTAGGTTGTTGACTGCCTGAGTCTATGACATGGATCAATACTTGAGTTATCAGTGTGCTATTTTTAGGTTGAGCCCCTTGATCAAGAAATATCTGACAAGGAAATGATACACACTTAAGCTGGTGGCATAGACAACTTTGTTGGCATATTTTCTAACCGTTTTCTTCAGTTTATTCTAACCTTGTTTTATGGTAAGTTGATAAATGCATCGAGTTTTGGACCAGAAAAGTTTATGTACAGTGTTTAAAAGAAGAGAAATTCCACCATTACTACCATAGTTTGTGTGAAGGTTGTCATCTTATTCTTGTGCATGTGAATCACCAACGCAGCTGGTTGCACTTATTGTAACATCCAATATTTCACTGGTAGCTAGAGAGACTCAGTGTTTATAATTCAATGTAACAGAGAGCTGGTCTATGTCTAAAATCAGCTTTTTTTTTCAAAAGTAATTTCTTAGATGCCGTCCACCCTCAATCTTTGAGCACTGTTGTGATAGCCATGATTTTTATGGCCTTTTATTTTCTCCCTTTTGAAATAATCCAAACATTTATCTCCCCATGAACTATTGTGTTGTAGAAGTAATGCATCTGGTATCTAGACTAAAGATGCATGTAGTTTTGTGTATCTTTTACTTTTTAACTTTGTATACATTATATTTTTTTTTCATTTTTTGTTTGTACACATTTTGTTGGTTTTTTGTATTGTGCTTTATCATTTTTATTTCAGTCAGTGGAAAATTTATACACAGTTTTTATTTTTAAAATTGTCACTCTTAACTCCTTTTATTAAGCATACCGGTATCTTTTGATTCTGTCAAAGGCCTGATCAACATTCTAATATTTCATACATTGTTCTGATTCATTGTCTTGAAGTTTTAAAATGTTGTATATCTTACCCACACTTTAACTCAGGGTTCTGAAAATATTTCCCCATATTTTTTTTAACATCTCTGTAACATGCAGTATTTTAAAACTTTTAATTTGAAAGTATTTTTGCTACATAAATGGGTAAATAAAGTCCATAGAAAATTAGCAAAGATTCCGTGACCTTTAGATTATTTAAACAGCAGAAGTAAGCAGTATTTTAAGATGTATTGAAGATTTATCAATACCTGATTTGACTTAATTCATGGAATCAAATGTGGTAAGATTTAATGAATATAATTGCATTAACAATAATTTAAAAAGTTGTATTGGCTAAAATGAAGTAATCTAAACATGGAAATTTTGAGCTGTAGATGATGCATGTATCATGGTTTTTATAAAAGAGGTATATATATTTAATTCTGTGAAAATAATATTCTATAAAAGCCTCAAAATACTGTGAGATCTAATACAGAACACTTCAAATGTAATGGAAGATCAGGGATTTTTCTATACCGTTTTGATGATAGACTGTTAAAGACAGGTATGTGATAGCAGGTTAAAATCAAGGAACTTTTATAACAAAAGCTTAGTAATATTAAGGTATTCGAAATATTTTTTACTTAATTTTTTTTTTAAAGTAGGCATACACATTTGTGTGATATTTTGATAACCCTTTGTACTTTACTTTAGATGCATCAACTTGGCATTACTTTTGTTAATCTCTTATATAGACACTTCCTTTTTTATGTGATCCTGTGGTATGAGTGCTCTATACTTTAATAGTAAAGTATGATTATGTTTTGACTCAGCGAATCCTGTTATTATAGATCTTCTACACTGTTAGATATATTAGTAGATTTATTTTATGAGATCAGAGCTAAATTAGAATTAAAAGTATTTGTATCTAGGAAATATAAAAAAATCTTGGTACTCAGTATGATGCTACTTTGGTTGTTCCAGAGAAAAAAATAATAATGTAAACATTACAATAATCAGTGTGTTTTTTTGAAGAGTAAATCTTTTATACACAGTTAAGAATGGCAACAGCTATGTTGAATCTTGCATTCCAATCAACATTTTCCTCATCAGTTGAATACTAGGAATAAGTCTGATGAAAAAAAAACAATCTAGTTTGAAAGTAGATTTCTATAAAAGTTTTTCGTTTTGAAAATTCAGATATCAATTAACTAAATGTACTGTCAGTTTCAAATCAGGTAAAAAAAATTGGTTTAACTATATTGTTAAGAAAATTACTGGGTGATTAAGCAACATTAAATGGGAATGTTTATTTTGATAAAGAGACTAAACTAGAAACTCTAGTATCCATTTCTAAGAAATCTTATGAGATGAATTGTTTGCAGCATTCATTTACTTGGTAACATTCAATATACATTTTTATATCTTAAAAAAATAGCAATTGGAATAAAATCTCAAACAAAAAACAACATGTAAGATATCCCAAGCTTATAACTTTATTTTATTTTCTCATTTTTAGTGAAAACAATGAAATTATATATATATATATATATATATATATATATATATATATATATATATATATATATATATCTTTATTACAGAAACAACTTATTGTCTGATTTGGTAAGTTGTATTAAACAGAAGTGAAAGTGTTTTGACAAATTTATATCATTCTTATGTTTTTTACATGACTTAGATGTGATTTGATCAGTTGGCTGACGTGTGTATTAATCAGTTCATTACGTTTAGTTTACATATACACCAACACTGAAAGTGTTTACACTGTACATAGTATATGTTAGTACCATGCAGTATCAATACTTTACCAGCAGAAGCTGTCATTTAATAATATGCTTGCATTAGGGAACAAAACACAGCTCCTATTTCATTGATGGGATAGGGCTGTAATGTCATAATCAATGTCATGTGTGGATAGTAATGCCTGACAAATGTCATGTATGGTTTTAGAGCTCTACCTGACAAATATGTCTGGTATAGAGCTGTACATGACAAATGCCTTGAATGGCATAAAGCTGTATATGAAAAATGTTTGGTATAGTACTGTGCATAACAAATGCCATGTATAGTAAAGAGCTGTACTTGACAAATGTCATGTATGGTATAGATTTATACTGACATGTCATGTATGGTGTAGAGCTGTACTTGACAAATGCCATGTATAGTTGCCAGATTTTTGTAGTGACAAAATTGCATGTTTTATGATGTAAAAATAAATCTATTTTCTCATGATTCCATCTGTTACTATGTTTGTACCTGAATATTGTTGTTTAGAATTATAACTTGTGGCCAGTCAACGAGTGGCTCAATTGATCATACCAACACATGTGTACATTTTGGCTGGACCTTATTTTTGTTTCCATCTTGATATGATCTTGTGTAGTGGGTGTGTAACTGTGTGGAGCTGTTTTGTTTTGGATTGCTATTGGATGTGGTGTAAGAATTTGTTTTGTCTTCCAGTAACTTTCCATAAAAACTCCATTTTTAGTTGTTTTTCTCATTAGGTTTAGTGTTGATATTTGCCAGTTAAAAAAACAGAGACCAGAAACAAGTTTTTAGTGCACAATTTGTTACTGTTAAATCCCATTTTCCACAAAACTG